CCCCCCCCCCCCCCCCCCTGATCCAGGCCATGTACATTATTAAATGGCGAAAGTAATGTTGCAGTCGATTCTGCAGGAGTACCTTTTAGCTACTCGTGCACAGTTGGATTTGACTACCTACTATGACTATTTTGACACGCATAAGCCTTTTTTCCTAGGCCCCATCTCGGTTGAAGAACTGGTGTGTTTCTCCTGCTTTAGTGCTGTTCGAGCTTTTCGGGGGTGTTTCTGTCACCAACCAGCAATTATTGCCAACTTCCCCGCCATATGAGGCTGCTGTTAAGCATCGCGCAGGGGATGCCAACCTGCTAGAGTAGCATTCGCCGTATCCTGGGTATCAGATATGTAGGAACCGCAGTATGAAGAACCTCCGCAATATATTACCATGACCCAAAGTTCGGACGCGCGGGAAAAAAAAAAAAAAGAGCGCGCGCTGTTGACAATGGCCAGGCAGGGCCAGCAACCAAACACTTCGAGGCCACGGGAAAATTAAACAATGCCATTTTTGCGTCTGGCCTCGTGACGAAGAATGTCGGTCCAAACACGATAAACATTTAATATACACGGCACGCATCTCCAGTATGTAATCTAGGCTCAACTCAGCCGACAACTGATCCCGCCATAGCCAGTCAGACAGTCAAATTGACCAAGCTGAGAACATTAGCAGACCGGCGAACAAAACGAAAACAAGAACAAGAAGGCAAAAAGATGATTGAACCGCCATAAGCGTGGATCGTCGCATTGCATGCATGTTTCTTGTATATCTATATGCACCATTAGGTCTTGTAAGCACCGTGCTCGAGAACGTGCACATAAGCACAGATGATTGCAAAAATTTCATGACTCCTGCTGTATTGCCCGTCGCCAGTATCATTATTCATCCATCAACATAGGCGACCTACTTTTCGGACAGGTCCATCTCGGGAGCGAGTGGGAATTCTTGTCCTTTGGACCTGGGATGCCTGACCCTGACGATCCCCGGCTATCTTCACCTTGAAGATGCGGGACCTTGTTGTTGTCAGGATAATATCCCTGTCCATGAACCGACTTAAAACACACAGGTGGGAGGAGGGAGGGAAATACTGTGTAAAAAAAGGCTGGAGCACAGCATGAATATTGAAGGACACGAGTTGCGCATTGTGGACGGTGTGTTCCTGTCAGATGATAATGACGGATTTTCACTGCTGTCGAGAATAACAATACACCAGCTCAAAGATTCAGCATCTCTGATTTCGCTCTCCCCGAAATGAAGCATCACGGTACTGAAGCACTGAGAGTTATGAATTGATCTCACTTTATGGATTTCGTCTGAAGATCCGAGGCTGGATATGTTTCTTCCAATCATGCTCACCATCAATCTGTGAGGGCAACGACCGGGATATTATGGGTCCTTCTCATATATCGTCGGAATTGCCTTGTTCAGATCTCTTGGAGATTTTATCACAGGGAGGGACCAAAAAAAAAAAAGAAATGCACAAATACCAAAGCTTTATTAGAGCCCAGTAAATCTGTCAGTCAACCGTAGGTCGCAGCTGCACAGGCCATGGCATATAGTATTCAAATTGATCCTGAAATCTTATTATTATTTTTTCCCTTTCCTTAGGGCACATGCAATTGTCGGTCGGGGAAGATCTTGTGTGCAAAGGCGGTACACACTCCGTACAGCGGGTATCTTTCTTTCGCCTCCTGCTTGATTGCTTGCCGAATTCAGTTGAAAGCCAAGTTCTTAACGAGCCGACCTCCCGAAAGACTGTTTTGCTCCACTGGGGGAAGGAGAGGAGCGGTGGCAATCCCACCACCTCTTTTGCATTGGGCTGACATCGCCAGTGTTTGAGAGCGTCGCATCGCCAATCAGAGCCGCAGCTGACCGGGGTGCACCGAATATTGAAACAAGTGTTCCTTGGCCTGGACCAATGGGGATATCGACTGCACCAGCGATGAGCATGTTGGGATTCTAGCGGTGGCCTACCAAAAGGTATTCATCTCATGTACACCTGGATCCGGGTTGTTGTTTTTTCCCCCCCTCCCCCCTCGTTTACAACAGAAGTATTGTTTCCGATGACCATCATCATGGTCATGGTGCAGGGTGCAGCTCATCATGGCTGCATGTCTCACTTTGCGCAAATACGGGCAGATCGTGTTATCGGCTGCCGTCCTGTAATGAAAATCACGAAAATCCGCAAGGAGCAATTGCTGGTCGCGTATCACTTTTGCGTTCCCAAGCAAGATGTCAGAGATCTTTTCCCCAGGCAAAGGAGGGGGGGCCGCCCACCCCAAAGTCAAAAGCACGGCCGATCCATGAAAGGGTGAAAAGTAAAAAGATCGCCTGCCCGCAGCTCATGGGCTATCGGTGACTCAGGATGACACCTGTATTAGTAGTGCCCGTACGTACTCTGTATACCTTTTGTATACTCGTCTTGAAGCTCAAGGCTAGCAGCACTGATGAGTATAATGTAGCTCGATTTATACGAAGTCCCTGCGTGTAGCCGCGCGGTAGTGGAACTCTTCACTGCCGTGCCACCCCCAACTTCTAGGGCAAGCAATGGCGAACATGCACGTAGCCAATAGCTATTTTGCTTTTTGCACACTGTTGGCAGAAGCTCAATTGTACACTCGAGCTAATGCCAACTTGATTTCAGGTGAAGCTTCTAATGCAGATCGGAGTGCATCGTGATTGAGGAGGGCCCTTATTGGCCTGGCAGACTGCTCAAGCTGCCCTTTTTTTTCACAACTGTATCGGCAGCTAGACCGTAAGGTGGCGCACTTATGTATGTGAGTCACCAGGTATCTATCTTGGAGTGAGGAATCGATCCAATGATCCAACCATCATAAAATGGGTGCATAGTACAGAATATGTAGTAAGCAGATTTATAATTTCGTCAAATTCTGTAGTAGGCCAGCCGCGGAGAAAACATGCGGAGACTTTGAGTGCGCGCAACCGAGGCAAAAATATTGGCTTACCACAGCTCTCTAAATAATTGTTTCACCTTGGATATGGATAATTGTAAGTGATTCCACCAGGGAACGGCCATTATATGGCATATTTTTGACCTTTTGGAAAGTTTCGAGGCCATACATATTTATGGCAATCGTAGAAAATTAACCTTTCAATATAGCAAGTTAGCAGCAGGTACGTAATGTAGATATATGGCATGTGCATGTGATTGGGCTATTGGACCTAGGAAGCGGCCACCAGCTGGCACAATCAGTTCTGCCATCTGCGCAGATTTTTCTGTCAGTATCGCAGCCGATAAGGCGCAAGTTCCAAGCCCCGCCAAAACTTTTGAGCATCCAGCCGCTGTATGAGTCCAGTCGAGACAACCTGCGTGTTTACGTATTAGTCGCTCGCTTTGTCACAAGAGTCGCCCTTCAGTAAACCACGACCATATATACCGAAAATGCCTGCCCGCGCGAAGAAAGCAGAGGTGTCCGAAGACACCAGCATGGAGGATGCTCCCCCGTCGGCGCAGCAAGCGCAGGAGACTGGCGACGAGATGCAAGAAGATCCTTTCGAGGAGGAGGATGGAAGAGCCGAGGAGGAAGAGGAGGTTGTCCAGAGAGTCAGGATCGTAAGGCTTTCCTGCATTGAAATCAATACATGCTACGTCGTCCAAGTGCTAATATCACATCTTTAGCTACCCGGTTCTTCCGCTACTGCTGCTTCTTTCGAATTCCTCGAGGAGGGTCACACATTGGGCAACGCCTTGCGATATATCATCATGAAGAAGTTGGTCGCTCATGTTCCTTTTTGCGTCAAGAGTAATGTGCTAAATGGATTTCCAGCCCTGATGTCGAGTTTTGCGCATACGCTATCCCTCACCCTTCAGAGGCCAAGATGAACATTCGTATTCAAACATATGGTATGGGCTTTCCTGCTGATGAATTATCTCAAGAGCTAGCTATTGATTTCAATACAGACACAACGACAGCAACTGCTGCTCTGGCCAAGGGCTTGAAGGACCTGGAAGATCTCTGTGACGTTGTGGAAGACAAGTTCTGGGCTGCACGAAACGAATTTGTGGCAGCGCAATGAAATGGAGGTTGTTCTAAGGCATATTGTTGGATTCAGCGGCAGTGATCAAAGGCATCACAGTGGCATTCTGCGGCGTTTGGGTGCATCTTAGACGGAGACGTCAAAAAAGGGACATATGATTTCTTCTTTCGGATTGCTATGTACACAAGGAATGATACCCCATTTCCTTTCTAATTGCGACCCTGCAAAAAAAGTGCTTGTCAATATCCAATTCAAAATGGTGGGATTACGTCGCATGAACATACCTCTAGGAATCCGTGCATGAAGTTCTTGGGTAATCTCTCGTGGCCACGGAAGTTCTCTTCAGGGAAATACGACATGACATGTGTAGTCTGCTTCCAGAAGTTCATGGTCTCCTATTAAAATAGATCGGGCGTCAGCTAATTGGCTGCTTTGGAGTTTCTCATGTTGTTATGGCAATAGCCGAGCATGCCTCCCTGTACAAAGGCCAAGCTCCCAAATATGCCTCCCAATAGCCCTTGCAGTTGAAGGAACATGACTGACCTGGTACTCGGCATTGTTCTGCATGATGAGGACATCAACGACTGGCAGCTTGTTGACATATCGGTGTCGCTCGAACTCTTGTCGCATCCGTGTTCTAATGACCGAAACGGGGAAGGGAACGGAGTACATGGTCTGGATCTCGGGCGCCTGGTTTGCGTCTATGTCAGCACCAGGCTATCGCGTCATGGGTTTCGAGGCATCGACCGAAGTGCGCGAAAGGTCATCTCCTGCAATTGGCCTCATTCCTCACGTACAGCTCGGATCCATTCTCGGTATGCCGAAAGCACTCGTCGCTTTGCATCAGCCCAATTGGCCGCTGTGTACCACTAGTTAGCGGAGAGCTCGAGTAATCCACAAGATAACATACACTGGGCCGTCTTCTTGGCGAATTGAGTTGGTGTGACCGCCATGGCGACTGTCTTTCTGGGCAATTGGGTTGCTTGATACGGCTTCAGCGTACGTTTGAGCTCACGGAGCCGTGAGGTAGGAAGTCGCGGCACAGCCACAGAAACGATAGAGTGCAGCAGCGCGCCACAAAAATTAGTCAGCTTGCGAGGCGCGCCAGACAGGGGTGGCGTCATAAGACACGCTAAATCTCTCCAGGCGGGAAGGCTTTCAACTAGAGCTTCCGTTTCGCAGCCTCGCCCCACTACAGAATCGCAATCAATACTTCACGTTTGTGCCAGTCTTTTGGTCGACCCGTCCTTCACTCAGAAGATCAAACACTCCTCAGCGCAATTCACACATCAGAAAAGATGCCCCCCGTTCGCTCACACAACTCGAGGCAAAGGAAGCCGCCGGCCGGCTTTGAGGACATCAGAGACAACCTCGAGGTGTTCAACATCAAGATGAAGGACGCACAAAACACGCCGACAGCAAACATCCCCAAGCATCAGGCGCAGTGGCCTGTATTCCAGATCCACCACCAGCGCAGTCGCTACATATACGAGCTATACTACGAGAAGGAAGCCATCAGCAAGGAGCTGTATGAATGGCTCTTGAAGAATGGTCATGCCGACGCGAAGCTCATCGCAAAGTGGAAGAAGCAGGGTTACGAGAAGGTACGAGTCTTGCTCCTGTCTTGACTACTCCGAATTTGAGCATGATTCTAACACCGACCATAGTTGTGCTGCCTTCGATGCGTGCAGACCAAGGAAACAAATTTCAACTCAACGTGCATATGTCGCGTGCCCAAAGCACAGATGAAGGACGAGACGAGCGAGGTACAATGCGTTAGCTGTGGCTGCAGAGGTTGTGCTTCAAGCGATTAAACAGGGTCTGAAATGAATCAGTCCATGACACCTTGCATTGTACAGGCGTTGGTTAAAAAATGGTCGGCGTTTTAGGGTAAAGCGTTATTTGAGGCTGTCACTTTACATTCAGCCACGGTATGTTTCAAGGAATCACGTATGATACCACCAGCAAGGCTACCGACATGTACAATAGCATGAGCAGCCTAAAGTAAGGCCAGCTGACTAGGCTGGGTCACATACATATATAAGAGATTCATTGCTGGGTATATCTTCTATGTCTTATTGGTGTCGACAGCAGTCTTGTTTATCTACATGTTCGTGATTGTACCTAACATTCCACCAGGACACTCATATTGATTGGCTTCTACCTTCTTGAGAACCCCGTCCTACCCTTTCCTCGCCCAAACCGCACACTGTTTGGCACAAACTGCAAAGTGGACATGACACTAGACAGTTCGGCCATGGCGGTATCAGCATTCTCGTCATTTGCTTGCGTCGCACTCGTGTCCGCTGCCCCTCTGGGATTATGCCCAGTCACAGTACTATGAATATGTGAGCGGGCTTGTGACGCCTCAATTTGTCGTGTGCCTTGTCTCCCGGATACAGATTCTTTTGTTGTCGTGTGGCCAATAGAAGCAGATGACTCGCAACCACGGTGACCCCCCTCCAACAGCAATGAGCTTCTTCCATCAATGCCCTCCTTTGACACGGCAAAGAAGAAGTTCTTTGGGTACATGTGCTTGTCTATTAGATGCATTCGTCGCTTTTGCGGTGTACCACATTTTCGATCACACCCTTCCACAAAACATGAGTACTGCAATACCAGAATATTAGTAAGGCAGGCGTACCAGAATTGCGAGGGCATCGGGTCAAAACTTACGGTATGTTCACCCTTTTCCCGCAAAACAGCAGCGAATGCGTCGTGGCATTCCTCAATGTGAACATTGAGCAGATGGTCTGACGGGAAATTTCTACGGCACTCGCTGCAGCGATTAGTGTGCGCCTTGATGTAATGCGCCTCATACTCGGCATAAGTTTTGAAGGAGAGCGGCTCGCGATGTCCTGGGAGCAGGCAGCTCATGGCAGTGACCGCTGGTGACTCATCGGCTGCAAAGTCATCCAGTTCTGCGATTTTTGATACACGGACTTCTGCCGTCGATGAGGCAGTGTTGCTGCCATTTTCGTCCGCACTTGACTGAGCAGAACAGTCTGCATGAATCTCTTCTTCAGGCTCGCGTAAGCGCTTCATCTTTTTGTTTTTTGAGCTTGTGGGAAATGGACATATTACATTTCAAGCCGGCGCATGAGTGTATGAAGCGCGTATGTGCAAGATGAGCTGGCTCGTTGCGCAAAAGACAAGCCTTTCTTTGGTCGATAAATTGAAATACTAATTCCGTCCCCAGCAGCTAATGGAGTATATATCCTTTTGACGCGCAGATGCTGGCAAATGTCTGTATCTTGTGAGTAAGTGACACGTAATCACTATATGACCATTATGCAAGGTTGTCATGAATTCCGAAATCGTAATATGAAGGTTTACTCTTGGAATGGCCAACAAGTTCCACAGAAATAAAAAGAGAAGCTTCTAAGCTACATACATAGGTATGTATGCAACTGGTGCATTACCATGGAAGCTTCCATACCTTGTACTAGTAGTTCACTGATCTGAGCAAGGGTCGGGGCCGCTTAGTGGCCATTGATCATTCAAGACCCCTAAGCCTGATGGGTGGGCAACCGGCCGGACTTGGGTGAAGAGCCAGTGACTGGCTGCATCGGCCCCCCAAAAAGTTGTTGACGGCGGGGCAAGTTTTTTTTTCTTCTGCGTTTTTGCAGGGTCCGTTGATCGGTTAAAGCCTAAAGGTAGGCACAAAATAGGTACGTAGTGGCTTACCTCACAAATCTACCGTGGTCAAGCTAATGGGTAGCTGGAGTTAGGTAGCGCGGCCGGGCCTCCAGGAATGGGAATTAGGTACAATAATGTGCTGTGGCACCTTTATCATCGAGAAACCCAAGGCCGCATGCAGTCATTTCTCTGTTCCCGCCGCCGTAGGAACATCATCGGCCACGTCGATTCACTCCTCACATCGACGTCGCATTCATCTTTCTCCGTCATTGCCATACTACCGACCTCCGAGCCTGGCACGACTTTTATCATAAAAAGTCTAACGTCTCCCACATTATTGCCAATGTTTTCACCAACCTGCGCCAAACAAGCTCTCGCTGCCCCAACCCGTGCCCAAGTTCGCACTCTTCCGCCGTCTGAAAACCCAAAGGTTGACCTCGTCCCAAGCTATGGCATTCGACCTTTCTGGCCTACGAACAACGAATTCATGTGAGCGCGAGCCTTGACTGCCAATCCTCGCCAGAATATCAACCGCCCAGGTCCTGCTACGTCCTCGACCCGGGCTACCTACCAACTCGACCCTATCCCCAGGTTATACCACCAGCGAACAATTCTGCCGCACACCTCATAGTACGCCCTTCTGGTGCGGTGTGGTGCGGTGCGGCCTGCTACGGTACGGCGAGTCCGCCTCCTGTCAGTCATGGAGCAGCAGAAGCTTCGCGACGCTGCCAGGGTTAGCTTGAAGTAAGTAGAGCAGAGTGTAGCAGACAAATCGTGGGAAAAAGCCCCCCGCAGCTTGCTGGTGTTGTGACTGCGACCGCACCCGACGACCTTTTCTGCGAAGCGACAGCGCGCATAATGGTGAAAGAATAACTACTGACAGCTCCACAGTAAATCGCACAATGCCCGCAATGCTGTCCATGAAAAAGCCAGAGAGCTCAAAAACAGCCTGAATGATCCCCAAATCTCACAGAAAAACAAAAATGGCAGCTTGACTGCTCAACTTGAGAAGTTGGAAACCTTGCTGAAAGAGTCCGTTACCCCAAAGAAAGAAAAAGCAAGTCGTACCGCAGCTATGCTAACCTTGGCCCAGTCTTCGTCTGGCCTGCATAGAAGTCATCTTTTATGACTTTGAGTATGCCCAAGATAAAGATGTGGAAGGCAGTCTATGGCAAACTCACGTCGATGTCAATACAGAATACCGACGTGCCATTGGACATGTCAATTCTCAGAACACTCAGAGCCAAGTGGTTCTGAAGCGCAAGGTGGACAAGCTCTACCGCGACTTCTTGAAGACATCTCAATTCTTCTACCGCACGTACATTCAGCGTCTTGCCGTTCAGTTTGATATCCCGGAGCTGCGACAGGTTGCGCAGGATTTGGAAGTCGAGGAATCCGATGTTGCTCAACAGCACCGACCCCCGCCCCCTTTGGCCTCACTCCGGTCAAAACTTGTGAAATCGTGTTATCTCACACTCGTGCGCATGGGCGATCTGGCGAGATACCGCTGCCAGCACTTGGAAAAGCCTTCGAAAACAAACCTCGATATTGCCCTAACATACTATGGCCTTGCTCGCATGTTGAATCCAGATGATGGTGCGTCATACCATCAGACTGCTGTCCTGTATCAGCCATCAGCCAACCACTTTGAAATAATCTACCATTTTCTGCGTTCCGTTTGCGTGGCCAAACCCCATCAATTGGGTGCTACCAACTTGGAAAAGGCATTCAAACCCTTGTTGCCCCAAAGAACTCAGAACAACTCCAGGAACAATGCCAGGCAGCTCGCCGGAAAAGGCCCCTCAGAAGCCCTGACAACTTGGTTTCTGAAACTCCACGCACACTATTCGCAAGGTGTGGCTTTTTCGGCCCGAGAAGAGCTCGAGAAAGAGGTTCTACATCGCTTGGAAGGATCTTTCAAAACTGAGAACAATGAGCAGCTGGCTCTCAGATTACTCATAGCCAACATTGCGTCCTGTGATCTCGCTTTTGAGAACATCAAAGGTTCGTCAGGAGATACCATGCCGCTTCTTTTTGAGCAATACGCTAATAGAACACACGTAGATGCCAAGGATTGGACCATAGAAAGATCGCAGTCCTGCCAATATCTATTGCTCTTTCAAGTACGGGTCGCTGTGGTGCTATTCCGTGTTTTCCGACCGATTCTTGAAGACGAGCGCAATGCCGATATCGATGAAGACTTGGAGGCACGCAAGAACCCATACGGCAACCCTGGATTGTCTCCAAGCGTAAAGCGCCTCCTCCCGTTGATACGAATCTATGTTGCATGGGTCTACGTCGCAAGAGAGAGTCTCAATCTGTACCAGGACTGGCTTGAGCCTTACATCAGAGATCTATACAGCTTGCTGGCGGATATACTTAGTCTGCTACTTCCCTACGCCATCTCAAATCCCACAACCGTCGATTCCCAGTACTTACTTCCCGAGGACATCGAAGCCCGTGGCTTGAAGCCCTTTGCCGACCGAAAGCTGCCACTCTTCTTGGATGTTCAGATTGTCCCAGAGTATGATCCGCCAAAGTGCCGCAAAACAATCAAACCTCGGAAGGAAATTCTACATGTCGATTGTCGCCCCCAGGACGAAGACATCTGGCGGATCCGAGATATTCTTTGTTGTGGTATTTACCTGGCTGGCAGTGCCAAATCTCCTTTGACAATCATGACCACAACTGAAAACGTCGATACTTGGGTGTACCTTAAGGATGGACCTCCCAAGTCTTTTGATGAGATTAGCATGACACGTATGTTCGCCCAGGTCAAGATGGCATCGCACAATAGATTTCTTGCAATCACAGATGAGCGTGTCAGACGCAATGACCCAGAGGATGTGGCTTCTCATCAACCTTTACCACCTCAGCAGACATCCATGCAGCCACCAGTACAGCATCGACAAGTCCAAAGCGCGGCTCATCAGATCATGGCTGCGAGATCCGGGCGAGCCGGGTACGCAAAGTCTAACTCGTCCCTTGATGACGACATCAGTCTCAGCACGGAAGCGAAACTGGCTGGCATGGTCGACAAGCTCCTAGATGAAGATGATGACGACGACCCATATGGCTTCTCCAGTCATCCTCACGGCAACACAAGCTATGGCATGAACTCTTCAGCAGCCAACGAGGTTTTCGGAAACTTGATGCCAAGCCCAACATCGAGGGCTCCTCAGTCGGCGGCTGCAGCCAACGGTAGACAAATCCCTAATCTTCCATGGAATTATTTCTTCAATCCTACGCCTGCCACGGAATCTGGTGTCCCGCAGCCGGCTAGGAATGGAGTTGACGTGCCCAGAAGTATAGCGGCTCAGACCGCAGCCGCCTCCATGGGCACAGGCCAAAGGAGCCCTAGCCTTGCAAATTACAACAATTACCCAAATTCCAGCGCATTCGCTTACCAGGCATACGGTGCACAACAGGGATACCGCACCGAACAGGCCAGCATAGGTTCTATCCCAGCTCGGGTTCCATCAGCAGCTCCAGCTTTGGATAGTCCCACTTACTCGGAAGACCAACGCGCTTCAGCTCTTGATAATCTCAGATCTGCATTGTTTGCTCAGTTTGGGAGTGGCACAGCCAATCACCTGCAATCTCCCACCTTCGCCTATGGACAACCGTTTTACTCTGACCGCAATGACAGCGCACAATCCAAGGAAGGTCACCGAGCCCGAACGTCAATTTCTTCACCCTTGGCAAACCTGGCGAAACCTGTCAGCGGAGACCGGATGTCCCAAGGCTTCATGGATCTTCAGCTGGGCGAGGCCCAGGGCAGCGCTGCGTTTGGTGTAAGAGATGACACACAACTGCGTGACCAGAGTCCCAAAAATGGGCCCTATGGCCTCACACGTCCAGAGAGCCAAGTGTCAAGCTACAATAACAGCTCAGCTAGATCGCCGGCCTTTGTTGGTTCGACCTTCCCCCAACAATTCACTGCGATTTCTGGAAACGAGACGTCGCTAGAATTCCCTAGCTCAAGCAATATCTGGGCTGGCACACCTGCTGGAGCGAGAGCTCCTCGAAATACCGTCGCTTGTAACGGCAATTACTTTGATGGTACAACCGCCTTTGGTCGGAACGGCAACGTCAATAACCGCAATGATCCCACTCACTTCCGTAATAGGCTCGAAGAGTTGGGCGCTGGCGTTGGGGAATCGGTTACAGCTTACGACAGAGCAGTCCTAGAGGCCGCGATGGACGATGCTGACAGAAAACGATCCCAGCAGCGGTGAATGTCCCAAATACATGTCAATCATTGCGAATGACTATCAGTCAGTCACTTTCCCGCGTGGCGTCGTCGTCTACAAGAAGGACTTCGACACTGGTTCTGCTTTGCCGAGTTGAACGGGACTATTGTCTTGAGAAGCGGGACTCCCCGCAATGGACTCACAGCTTGTGCACTTGCTGAATTCTGGACCATGTCCTTCCTGTATAACAGTTGACCGCCAGGTAGCAAGAGGGCAGGCTTCGGATGTTCAATTGAAATTCATGGAAATGGGGCCTTGAACCCGCTTCGCGTGAAACTTTTCTGAGTTTCCGCGAGTATTAATTGTCAATCGTTTGGCATTACTACAATCAGGCAATTGTGAAGCCTTCAATTAGCTTCCTCGCAATACACGGCCTGTTGAACAGACTCACTGTGCTAGAGACCATGAGTCCTAGTTGGGACCGATTATTATCGATATCATGTCCGCTTCGGATGTTACAATCTCTTGTCTAGGAGATCGCTTCATGATTCGTTTCTGAGGACTGTCATGGTCCTCTTGTTTTGTCTTTACGCGCGCACCTGGCGCCAACAATTTCTGTCGAAAGGCTTCTTCTATGCTGCCAAGTTTCCAGAGCCGGGCCAGCAAGGCCGATCTAGCAATAATGAAAAGAAACGCGAATTGATTTTTGCTTGCTCAGACACACACCCGGTCATTTCCTGTGCATCTATCCGACAGCAGGGCGAAACCCGGATATGACTTGTTGAGGGGACACTAGTGTGTGAATCGAGAGCAGAGCCCGCAGTCATTTTTTCTAGCAAAAAGTTGTGGTTTCAATGATGTAATGTAATGTGTTGTAAGCTGGTCACCAAAAGTCCGTCCTCGGGGAAGGAGAGACATCCTGTCAGTAATTTCGAGCTCAAGGCTCGTCGTATTGGAGCAAAGAAAGGATTCTGCACTCGCTTGTATCGACTGTTACATGAATCTTTTTACCATAAGTAGTTTATGGATCAATCATATTGAGCACTTTCTTTTCTGGGAATGTGCAAGTAGACGTCTCGATCCATGCCTTGAGTAGCGTGAAGTGGTGAGAAAAGTTCATCAACGGTACTTATTGCTTTTGTCTGGAACACACCGAGTTCACGTTACATCTGACCAGACAAGGTCACAGAAACGTTGAGACTGTTCTCCCACTTCCTAGCAGCCAGTATCCAGATGTATATTCTTCTGTACAAGCACAATGATTGGTGTATCATATGTTCCGGCAAAGCTGCTCAAATCGCACAATATGAGTTTACGCGATGCTTGATTCTTACAAGCCACGTCTATTGGAAGAAGAAAATCATCTCCCTATCAAAAGAAATAAAATAAAATGCTCGATGAAAATGCCCTGTTGTTGAAACCTATTTTGTATCTCTAAACGCCAAACATTCGTGACTTCTTAACAAAGGTGACCAGGCTCTCTCTCTCTCTTCTTTCTCTATCGTTGTGTTGAAAAATGGTCTGATTGACCATAGCAGGCGTCTAAAACACCAAATATGCGCTCGAAACCCCGAGCTATGCCTTTCCGTTGGGCCGAAAAGACACGCCAAGTAGTCTCATTCAGATCATGAGACCATTATCCCCCAAGAGCCTGAAGTCGCCATGGTGGCATAATGTGCCAATTTGGCTTTCCTCATCATGTCACATCCTGCAAAACACGTCAGGGCTTTTATGCCTTGGCGTAGGTCTGCTTGGGGAAGGGGTAACTGCAAAAGAGAAAAGAATTAGCATTTTGATATCAGGTGGTAAACCAAGAGTGATACGTACGAAGGACCCAGCTCCTGGATGCTGAGACGAGCCAACCACTGACCCAAGTCAACAGCCTCGTCCAGGGTCTTGCCCTGGACGAGACCGGCGACGAAACCACCGGCAAAGGCATCACCGGCACCGTTGGTGTCGTTGATCTGCTCCTTGCTGATGGCGTGGACAGGGTAGGACTTGACCTCGTCGACGCCCTGCTGGGCGACCACGGTGGGCTCGGTTCCGTGGGTGATGACAGCGACACGGGGGCGCTTGGTGTTTGCCTTGGGCAGGTTGGCGAGGTGCTTGGCAATGGCGGCAATGTCGGTCGCGGCAACGTTGAGGTTGTGAGACTCAGCATAGGCGGCGGCCTCGGTCTCGTTGCAAATGACGTAGTCCCAGTACTTGGACGACTCGTCGAGAGGGTCCTTGAAGAACTGGGCAATGAAGGGAGCCGAGACGTTGACGACAAAGACCTTGTCGTTGGCAGCGGCCTCCTCTCCGAGGGTCTGGATGGCGGCCGGGCAGACTGAAAGATATGTCAGCGTTATACCTCCATGATCATTTGAAAGGAGCATTGGATTTCCCAGTCCAAGAATCTCGGACCATGAAATAGCAAGACAGCACAAACTTACCAGTGAAGTGGTATCCACCGACGTAGTAGAACTGAGCACCCTTGACCAGAGCCCATATGTCTTCCCTCTTCAAGTGCTCAAGGTCATAGTGGTTGGCGGCACCCAGGTCGGTGCAGAGACTGCGGTTGTGTCCAGTGATGACAACACCGCATCGTCCCGTGGGGATCTTGGGGTCGACACGGTACTCGACGCGGAGGCCGACCTGCTTGACGGCGTCACGGAGGGTGGCGGCGTACTTGTCATCACCGACACCGCCGAGGTAGACGACGCTGTTGGGGGGCAGGATGTACTGAGCACCACGGGCGGTGTTCTGGGCGGCACCTCCAGCAATCAGCTTGGCGTCGTAGTTGTTCAGCAGGTCCTCGTAGAGCGGGGCGTGCTTCTCCTCGGCCAGGATGGCATCGTTGTCCTTGAGGCCGTACTTGTCGAGAAGAGCCTTGTCACCAACGGCTTGGATATCTGGAAAGACGTGTCAGAGCTAAACATGGAAAAGAGTCGGGTAAATCTTTCACGAATAGGGTGAAGGTTATTCTCAAGATGGGTAACTATCGGTGTATTCTTTGGGGGTGGAGGTATTATCGGAGGGTTTCCCACCATTGTAGTCGGAAACCCATTGCCCCTCATTCATTGAGAAGGGAATATGTAGAATGAGTTGCAGAGTAGGAGAGGTTCTTACCAAGCAGGGGGTTCTCCAGACACAGGAGAGCGAATTCCTTGTTAGCGGCCATTGTATAGTTTGATCTCAAGGGGTTGATGTGGGTTGTAGTGGTGTAGGTCGGAAGTATGAAGCTGCAATGATGGCGGGGTGAGATTTTATGAGGGACGAGGGTGGTGGGGTTGGTTTTCGGGGTCCTTTCGGTCAACGTGCTCTGGTCGGTGGGGCGGCGCTCGAAAGTACTGCTGCTGCTGCTGCTGCTGCTGTGCCTGCTGCATGTAACCAATGTGGTAGTAGTGAGAGCTACTAATGACCTGGAGGTCCAATATTGTTGCTGATGATGGGTAAGACGAGGGATCGCCCTCCAGATACCGCGAGCAATTGGCGCTGGTAGATTTGCCATCATTTAATCATTGACGTGCAAGATTGACGTGTGAAATGGCTGGAATGAGTGTCCAGGACAGATGGAAGTTTGCACTCCAAATATAACAACTCTATGCCCGTGGTAACAAGACGGCTCAAATATTACGTCAAAAAAATAAAGCGGCATCTTATGATAGTCACGCGGCGGTCGGAATCAACGCATTGAACTGCACAACTACGCGGGGAACAAGTCAATCGCATACATATCCATGTTCCATATACACTCATATTTGCCTGTATGTTCGAAGTTGCATTAGTCCCGCCTTTTGCGCAGCCACAATGTCAGGCTTCCTCTGGCTAACATGGATAAGTTGATGCGCCCGACTCTGGAAACTATACTGTCCATGGCAAAGAACTGGTCCTTGACCGTAGCTTGTCGTCCTCATTGGGATGCCGAGGTGTGCACCAGTAACTGCAATTGTCCAAATGATGCGTACTACCATGCGACAAATCTATCACCATCCATAACAGCCATAGTTGGAAATTAGAACAGGTACTTATTCATCATCTCGGGGGTTCTCTTTGAAGCAACACTTTTTTTTGGGGTCCAGCAGCCTTCCCATAAATATCACGAGGATCGAAGAATCAAGGTCGCATAAATCATCAGAAATTTGTCTTGAACCGGGTACATCCCATTGAGCCTTTTTTCTCATACCTAGCTCAACCTGTACCTACAGATGCAAAGAAGTAACGAAGCAAACTCCGAACCCATTGTGATCGTCGCGAACCACCAAATGTGCATGCCCTGGAGAATACCTTACTCCTTCGTCTTCTGAGTACCACGCAGCAGACCAGTTCTTCTGGCGGCAATGAGACCCGCCTTTTGACCCTGTGCAGCGTACCTCGAGATGGTCGAGGCCTTACCAATGTGCTGGTGGTTACCCTGTTCAAGTGTGTCAGCACCAATCCAATCATCTTTTTTGCTGTTGGGAAGGGGGGAAAACGTACACCACCGTGAGGGTGATCAACGGGGTTCATGGCAACACCACGAGTCTTGGGCCAGCTGTTGCGCTTGACAGCGAACTTGTGCTTGGCACGCGAGGCCTTGAGGAGGGGCTTGTCGGTTCTGCCACCACCAGCGACGATACCGACCATACCACGGGCGGAGCTGGAGATGACCTTCTTGGCACCAGAGGGGAGCTTGACGCGGGTCTTGCCCTCGTCGGGGTTGTGGCCGACGATGGTGATGTAGTTGCCGGAGGTGCGGCCCAGAGCGCCACGGTCACCGACCTTCTCCTCGACGTTGGAGATGACGGTACCCTCGGGCATGGAGCCCAGGGGCAGGACGTTACCGACGGTCAGAGCGGCGTTCTTTCCGGCGTAGATGAACTGGCCAGTGTACATGCCCTCGTTGGCGATGAAGGTCTCGGTCTGCTGCTTGAACTTGTAGGTGGATCGGAACATGACCTTGGCGAGGGGAGCACCTCGGCCGGGGTCGTGGACGATCTCCTTCACGATACCGCGGACGTATCCATGGCGCTCGGCGTAGTCGAGAGATCTGAACTTGGCAGGAGCCTTGCGCAAGTGGGAGTTGGAGGCTATGGTGAAGTAAAAAATTAGTAACCTGTACCACCTAGCACTGCGCAATTGCTATTGATGCTGCTTTCTCTTTCTCTCTGTTTCTGTCCGTGATCCAACGTCTTGTTGGTTGTGCGTAGGTTTCCATCTCTTTCGAATTCCTCCTCTTTTCAGCTTCTGTAACCTCTTCGTTCTTTGCTGTTTCCTTCTTCCCCCAGCCAGTCGTGAATCGTTTCGAGATCGAGTAGAAGAGCAGCGTCGAGTTGCGTTTGCACCGATTGAGAACAAGAAAAGTTTCGTTGCGGTCATGACTTACTGAAGATACCACCCTGACCCTTTCTCTGGTTACGAATCTGGCAAAATTGTTAGCATGAACAGGAACTGCAGCAGTCATGGTGGCCGGCGAATACATACCACGCGACCCATCTTGCCGGTCTATCTGGGCGTGATTTATCGTGGTGGTTGAGATGCGTAGTGAATGATGGGAAGGGAAGATTTCAAGGCCTCAAATCTTAACCCACCCGAAAATTGCGGATTTTCCCAAGTGTAGTCGAGTTTGTGGGAAGTGGCTCCCCTGCCGCTGATTGGCACTGATAAGTGGAGACTTTTCTTTTCCAGCGACCCTAGCGGCCTGAGGCACACATTTTTTATCCAAATTCAATGAACTGCGCTAGAGGCCAAACAGGACAGTTGTGGCTTCATCAGTCCAGCCTCAATGCATGTGTCAGCTTGTGGCTGTAATGTCTGTAAATCTCATCATCTGTGTAACTCTGAATTCACCCCCTAGCTCGGGAATTTCCCCTTCGCAATCCCTGAACGACGCGCTAGCCGAATCAGCAGTGAACCTTCTTGAAAGCTACATGCTACCTGAGCATACAATACCCAAATCTCGAGTGGACCTAATAATGGCGCGCCGCTACTAGGTTAACGCTTGACTTTGAGGAAAGCCAGCAACAGCCAGCCAGCCAGCCAGCCGTCAGCAAAGGGACCGAAACGTTGGAACAAACATCCTCAGCCTTGTGTCGCCGTTCCCTTTCTTTCGTCGAAAGCAGATTCCAAACTTCTCTGCATCATTCTTTTCCAATTCTGTCCTGCATAGATATTTTCGACATCTTTTTTTCTTTGTCCCTTGTTCTTTTCGCCAGTACAAGCAAATCTTCTGATACGATCTGTCACCTGCCTGCTCTTCGCCAAGCCGTAGAGCAAACTCTCCAAGATGGCGAAAATCGCAACCGACTTCAACAAGATCATCAATGCAGGTATGCCTACAGAGCATTTGCGCCCCCCACGCCGACAGACCACTCTCCATGCGCCTCCTTCTTTTCTACGAAATCTTTCGCGCGACTGACCATATAACCACCATGCAGGACGCGAGCGCAAGAAGAACGAAGCCCTCGCTGCCAAGATCTTTGGCAGCAAAGACAACCGTCGCTCCAGCGCCCCAGGCAACACCAGCAGCAACAGCGCAGTAGGAGGCTCGCTCGCGAGTAGAGTAGGCGTAAAGAAGGCGGGTGCGCGGGGAGCAGCAGGTGGAGGAGCCAAGGCAGCTGCTGTGCCGGCTGGCAATATCAATGGCGAGTGGCTGCACGACTTGCACGGCACGCGCACGACCCCCAATCTCCGGGCCCGCGGCCAGCAGCAGCAACAACAACAACAACAGCAACAGCAACAGCCCATCGGCGGTGCCCTGGCCGCCAGGATACACGCCCCCGGTACCAAGCCCGCTGCGGCCAAGACAAAAGGCGGCATCCCGACGGGCCCCCGCAATGCGAATAACCGCGCCGCCAGACTTGCCAGTGCCGTGTCGCGGACCTCCAACACCCAGATGAACGTTGCGCAGGCGCCGTCTCGGGGCCTGTCGATCCGCGGTCTGGCTGGACCTTATGCGGTGATGGCGCAAAACTTTGCGCCCGGCACGACGGCCGCGGATATCGAGAGCGCAATGACACCCGTCGGCGGCATCGTATCGAGCTGCAAATTGATCAAAGTTCAGCCCATTGTCATTGCCGAGGTTGTCTTTGAGAGCAAGGAGGGAGCTGATAGGGTGATTCAGACGTTCAACAACCAAACAGTGAGTCTTGGCCGTCATGACTTTGTTCATTTTATTTATACTAACTCAACATGGAAGGCTGACGGACGTCTGCTTCATGTCTACCATAAGCCAGCTGGCAGCCCCAGCTACAACCCGCCCTCTGCGCCCCGGGCCCAACGATCGAACGAATCGAGGTCCGGGACCGGCGTGGTAGTTGACGGCTCAAACGGCTTTGACGACCCCATGGACTCGGATCACCACAACGATAGCAGCCTCTACAGCGACCAGCTCGTCAACAGATCCGACGCCAGTCGTCGGGGACGAGGTTTCCAGAACCGTGGCGGCCGTGGCCGGTAGGACCGGTACCAAGGCCCGGAGACGAACTATTATTGGTAGAATAAACCATAGCCTTGCCTTGTTTTGGCCGCGTCCCCGTTCGGAGAGCTACAAAACAGGCTTTGGCTGTGCCCTATAGAGTGATGTGCTTGAAGCGTTGTCAGAAGGAACAGGCTTGAGAGGATACTGCGTACAAAACCGCGGGGAAATTATAGGAGTATGGCGTTCTGGTTACGGCATTGAACGGTAGCGGACAGAAGTTGTCAATCACTTTGTTGTAAAGAATGATCCTGCATAATACGACTTTCAAACAGATGGCATTCACATGACTCCCCGTGCAAGACTTGCCGTGCAACGAGATGCCTCGAGATGCGACTCCAATGGAAGTTTGGGATGGATTCCTTTTTATTGCTAAACTCAGAGCTAGCATCTTCGCCTAAGCCGGCCATTTGATTGGACCTTTACTTCAATGGGCTTCCGCAGAGAATACATTTTTCCTTCTCACTCGGGATGTCAAAAGGATCCATGGCCATCGGCTTTCCCCTACACCTCCTATGAATGCCATCATGATCAATACTAGGTATATCAATTGGGAAATGTATTTTCACATTCTGCCCATGTTCATAATGCAATGGTGTCTCCCGTGCTATTTCCAATGAGGCCGCCACAACCTCCCCGATGCCCCTACTATCTGCGTCAATCAGTCTTGCTCCTGGACTACTGAGACAAAGAAGCAAGAGAAGGCCGATGTGGAGCACAACGTGCACCTGTCGGTTCAAGAGAGAGACTTGTGTATCCTCAGCATATTGCTGCAAAACCACCTTGGCGGGTACAATTTCTTGCCACTGGGTGGGTTTCTCCGGTCCAACCTTTACCCCCGTCTTAGACCTGTCTCAGTCTACTGCTGGCTGCAGTATCAGCAACAGCCTTCGGCTGGAATATCCCTCGTCTTTCTCCTTCCATCCGCCTCCCAAATAATTTACAAGAGTTTCATGGAAACTCACTTGTGCAAAGCGTACCATTGGCCTTCAAATTACGGTGCCCTGCCAAGCCCTTCGAGAAGTGCTTGAATAAAAATGTGTTTGTCGTGCGGCGGTCTCACCACAACAAAGTCGGCGTACAAGAGGCGACGAGCTGGAGTATTTGACAAAGAACAATGATAGGGCAGAATCGATGGCAATGCTGATTTCGAGGTCATCCGCTGCGCATGCTATCCTAGTAATGTGCCAATATAACCCCTCATAGTGCCAAAGACCGCAGGCAGTCCGCTCATCACGGTGTAAGAGCGAGGGAAAGGGATCTTACTCCAAAGAATTCGGTGTTTTGTCCTGAAAGTCGCTATTTCAGTGCCATGGGCTTTGTCCGCCTCCCATGAATCCTTCCTCCAAAGTTCTCTCCTCCAAGTTGCGAATGAGGTTTCCTCTATTGCCACCTCGTTGAGCTCGGCTATCTCTCCTGCCAGTGATTCTACCGGCTCCGGGGTCGGGCAAGCCAATGCCGTCAGCCGGAGGAGGATAGTAAGCGGGACTGGGCTGCAATCGAATGGGCTGACTTGGGTCAAGGTGACTAGCAACTCGTTGAATTGTGGCCGGGATACCATTTTGCTGCTGATCCATAGTCGAAGCTCGCTGTCGCCCAGCCCGTACAGTTGCTTGTTGGTAGAGATTTTGTTGCGGCTGAACACCAGCGTAATTTGCTGGTGGCATCTGGGCAGGCACTTGGTTGATGGGCATCTGTGCATAAGGACTTGGTTGAGCGGAGCCGTAAGGCGCACTGACGTGGGAAACACCCGGTGAATACATGTTGTTATTGTTGTTGGGGTACATGGGTGGCTGTCCGTGAGGCGATTGCGGATATCCGGGACTCTGCTGCTGCACAGCATAAGCACCTTGCGCCGCGGCCTGAGCCTGGGCCTGCGCAGCCTGCGCCCGCTGTTTGCTAAGTTCGGCGGCTTGTTGCTGTTGTTGCGTTCCAGGGGCTAGTGTGCGGTTCAATGAGCTGGCCTTGAGGTTCATCGGCGGCACAAACGGTCCTGTGAACTTCTGCTGCGTGATGAATGGGTGAAGCTTGGCCTGCTGAGGCGACCATCTCTCCAGAGGACTAATGGTCAGCAAACCCCTCACAAAATCGATAAATGCGATTCGATTGTTCATTTCTGTGAACAAGCTGTTAGTTTTTTTCTTTTTTTTTTTTCTTTTCTCGTTAGTTAGATTTTTCCCTTACCTCGATCGATCTCGCTTTGTTTCATGTTCTTCCGTGGCATCGGATACGACTTGATGATCTCTGGCAGAGTACTGGCCTGGAAATACTTCTTGCTGGGCTGCTCCTTTGTCCCTCGCTCGCGTGCATACTGCTCCATACTTTTCAGATGGTAGGTCTTGCGACCAAACTCATCTTGACGCTTTTCAAAGAAATCGCCGGCTTGTTTGCCGACCTCGATCATCCAGTTTGGAGGGTTTCCAAGCATCTCGACGATTCTCGAGACTTGGTTATACTCGGAAGAACCAGGGAACAAGGGCAATCCAAGGAACAGCTCGACTACGATACAGCCAAGTGACCACATGTCAATTGCTGACGAATACGGAAGGCCTAGAAGAACCTCTGGCGATCGGTAGAATCTGGACTGAATGTAGGTGTACACCGTTTGGCGCTCGTCGCAGGCCGATCCAAAATCAATGATCTTGATGATGGGGCTTTCGAGGTTCTTCAACAGGATGTTCTCCGGCTTCAAGTCACAGTGAATGAGGCGTGCCTTGTTCAGCAGGGCCAGACCGTTGAGCAACTGCTGGGCAAATACCCGCACCAAGGTAGTGCTGAGACCTCGGAACTGATTTTGCTTGATAAGTTCATAGAGGTTGACGCTGAGAAGTTCGAAAACCAAGCAGAGATGCTGGCGATGAATAAAGGTATCCTTCAGTCGCAGCAAATGGTGGTCGTCGTTCTTGTCTAATTTGGTGTTCAAAAGATCAAGAACGGAAACCTCCATCATACTCTGGTTGAAATAAGCCGTCCGGTTTTTGATGACTTTGACGGCCACGACCTCTTGCGTCTTGAGGTTCTGGCATTTGACAACCTGTCCAAATGTACCCTGACCAAGCACGTCAAGGATGAGATAACGATTCCTAAGAGCCATGTATCAGTGAATGTGCATGATGAACTAAGAAGGTCATGCTCATACTTGTGCCCTGCTTCCTCAGATCCCAAGATGTCGTTGACATATAGAATATAGTCGCTGTCCTCATTATCGTAACCGTCGTTCTTACTTCCCTTGCTGGGTTTGGTAAGCACTCGGCGAGGGTTTCGAGAGGATTCATATTTGAAGCTAGGGTTGCAGATTCGATAGGTAGCTGGGAGCTGCGTCGTAAGTGCCTTCAAGGGCTACAGCCATGACAAATAGGTTAGTCGTGGCAATGTTTGGGCTCGTAGCAGGGTGCCTTACGCTGATGAAGCCTCCCTCGGGGTTTGCTCTGCGGAAAGGTGGTTGCGCATTCACAGTTGGCCTCAAGTCTGAGATGGTCCTGAGCTTCTTGAACTCCGGCACCGGCTTTTTTTCTTGAGTTCGTCGGGGTTTGAGATCGTTGCCGCCATCGTAGGGTGTAGCGGAGCCTGACTGGCTATCCTGGCCATTATTTCCATATGATGCAAGCATAGGTAGCTGTGAGCCTTGCCTGCTGGGATAATAAGGGCTTGACGAGTAATCGCTGTTGGCGCGCGTCGGTGACTGGCGATGAGGTGAGAATTGGCCGCTAGCAGACTTTGGTGGGTACGGCGAGGTTGGCGACAGCACCTCCATGGGTGAGTAGCGTTGTGCAGCAGCAGATGGCTCCGAGTGCAGGTTCATGGCAGCAGTGCGGCTACCAGAAGAAGAGAGTTGAGCCTGGTGATGCGGGCGCATTGGATATTTCATGGATCCGTAGGCATCGTGGGCGTCGGGCATAGCAACGTCGCCGTTGTTATCGCGCAGCTGCGGGGTGGACAAGGGCGAGGTTGCGCTACTCTGCGACACGTTGCCGTATTGATCGTACCTCAGAGGACCCGGGGACTGCTGGTGTTGGCTATTCTGCTGTGGATAATCTCCTCGTTGGCTGCTTCCGCCGTTGTATCTTCGCTGCGAGCCGCTGGCAGCGTCCGAGTAGCCCTGCCATTGATCCATGGTCGCAGAGGCCGATGGACAATGGGCGAGGGGAAGTTCGGCAAGTCTATGTATTGGCAACGCAGGTAGGAAGTTTATGTTGGTGAGCTCTGGAAGTAGTTGCGGAGTTGTAGAGTTTCGAAACCAGACGTAATCTGTTGGTTAGCCGGATAGGCTGGAGAAGAATGGATTACTGTCCGCTCGTGTCTGTCCGTCTAGAACCTGTGTCTGTCTATTCGTACCTTGTCAGTCAACCAGCCAAGCCACTCAAGTCGATCAGGCACGGGTTAGGCCCAAGGTTGGCAGTCAGTCGGGTGAAAGTGAGAGTACGAGCAGTGTGTGTATGCAGTGCCAGTGCCAGTGCAGTTTGGCTGGTCATTCGCTCGGCCCAGACTGGGACCACCTGCAACAGCCACCTTAGTTTTTTTTAACCAGGTTTTGAGTGAGCACCAAGGCAACGTGGAAAGAAGAATAAAGAGAGAGATGAATAGGTACAAGGCTGTGGACCAGAGGGAGGGGTGGGGGGGGGAAAACGTGATTTCGTGGTATACGTAAATTAGGATTTCATGATTGAAAGAATCAAATACAATGTCGTACCTATTTGGGAGAAGAGGAAGAAAAAAAAAGCGATGCCTGTTTCAAGGGAAAGGAAGTTTGCTATGCCTGGTCGCGCGTTCTCACTCTCTCTTTCTTTCTCTACCTGACGAAGGTATGGATGTGATGATCGCCCGTCTCGTTACTACCTGGCTCTACGTCAGGCCGGTCGGGGGGCGCTTTTTGGGGTGGATGGGTGGGTGAGAGTGGGTTGTTGCTCGCCCGCCAAGGCAAATAAATTTGGCTTGCGTCCTCTAGGAGGAGGCACCTTGCAACTTGGGCTGGGCTCTCAAGTTTCAATGGGATGATTGATTTTAGCACGCACCAGCTCGTACTGAATCTACTACTGTAAATCTACTACTGTCCGCACGCGGCGAGCGGCAGATGATGGAGGGGAATTTGAAGCCGTCGGTCCAGCGATTGATGGGCTGTGGGGAATGTTGCTGTAGTGGTGATCCAAGCGGTAAACGATATTGGATGTACTCCAACTGGCGGGTAGCTCGAGGTACAGAGTAATGTAAATAAAGCAGTCCAATACCTTGATTGCAAAGTATTTACTGGTAGAACAGTAACGAGTTCTTGGCTTTGTTTGTTTCAAGCTTCAAAAACAAGAGACTCGTATCAACTTTTCCCTAATTGTTGTCGTGGAAAAGAGAGTGCAGGTTGAGGCGCATGTAGCTAGGGCTGGCGCCGCCGCTTGCGGTGAACGGATGGCTGGCTGGGCGTAAGGTAGGTATGTACGAATAGAAGACCTGGCAAGCCTGGTAGGCAAGGCGGATCTTGGTGCCAGAGCAGGGAAGAGAGAACGGGAAAAACAGAACTGGCCGTTCCAAATGGTGAATCAGGATTGCCCTAACAAGACGGAGGATGAAGAGTGCGAATGATCATTCAAACCATCAATGTTTGCTACAGGTACGTGGCTGCCATGGGGTAGCAGAAACTACTCGTGATCCTCCTCCGGATATGAGACCCGAGTATAGGTATTAGCAAACCCCCTCGGAGTGGGCAGTCACGTAGGTCCCATCAATGATCACGCAGGTAGTGTTTTTCATTCTGCTATCTGAGAAAAGATCTGAGAGAACAATCGGCAAATGTGTAACAATGAGCAGATAGATCTCCAAAGCAGAGAAGTGGCATAGCGCAAAAGCGTCGAGCGTGCCGCTTTCTCTCGCGCTGACTCGACTTGATTTCAGAATTCCATATCCCGAGACAGTGCATTTGGGGTAGCCACGGAGATCCCATCCGTTGTTTGGGTAGGTCTTGAATCAAGGCCCCCCCCCCCCCCCCCCCCCATTGTCAAAGCAAAAAATAACATGGCGCTTGTTACTTTGTCTAATAACGCAGAAATACCATACGCTTATTTTATTAGTGGTACGTATTCTGTAGACTTCTCTTGGCAACGCAATAGAGTTGTTGCATTTCTTCTCATATCTCCATAATCGAGGATAGCGCAAGATATTTCCCAAAGTCTCACTGATATTTGCAGCACAGTGCCTTTTTCTTCTTCTTTCCACTTCTGAAATCGTTGTTAAACCAATTGCCACAGTCAAAGATCCGATTCGCAATCAGCGCAATGCAAAAAGGCTCGTTGGGCATGAGTGAGTCCGACAGCCCACACCCCGAAAGTGCCCAATCACAGGCGCTGTCCCCAGCCTCTTCTCTTCCCTGCGACGCGACGCATTTTAGCAGTGAGCCCAATGACGCCAGCTTTCCAGGTAAGAAAGCTCGGACAGGGAGCGTCTGGCGTCAAATGTGACCAGGGTCTTTTCCCCTCCTCAATTTCCATCTTGGACCCTTGCTTGCTTTTGTCTCCCTCTCGTTTGGAGACATATATACTTGTTGAATAGCTGGCCAGAGATACTGTGTGTGTATATCATGCTGATTAATGATCGTCGAGGAAGGAGCTGCACCCAACAGTCGATGACGCGAGAGCAACAAATATACATGTTGCATACATGTCAATTGTGGGAATTACTTGACCGATCACTGACGGTTGACATGCAATGCATCAGATGGTGCACAATCCTTTTAAGCATACGTACTGGCATGTGAATCCATGCAACCATCTCATTAGCCCCAGTTAAAATTCATACACACAGCAGATGTGATGGGAACACGACGCTGTTAGCGATCAGGCAAGATTCACTCACATATCTGGGTTAGGGCACATTACCGGGTATGGTGGCCACTGTTGAAAGAGTGCTACTCGACTGGATTCCCTCAAATCTGTTTACATGTCAATCGCGCCTATCTTCGTACATTGTTGCCATTATAGGCATACTTTCGAGGCCGTAACCTTATGTAATGCAAGTCAATGCACGTGTTGCGACGCGTGATCATGTCATAAAGTAGGATGCAGACGGGGATTTGATAAGGCTGTTGGATTCAGGCGATATCCTCCTTCTCCTGTACGGCCAGAGCCAACGACTGTCCTACTTTTGGTTCACTTCAAGTTTCTGAGATTCCCTGCAAATCAGACCTTTTCATCTCGTAAATGCTTCAATCCACGTCACAAGAGACCACCACTCCACGCATCCATCATCAGCACCCAAGCATATAACCGCCCGTTCCAGCTCATCTGAAGGGGGCAATGCAGAACATAGGAATAGTATCGGCGTAACATCGTAACGTCTGTAAATCCCACACATGCAGAGTGGTATCGTATCAAGAAAAGAAAATAAATAAGCCAAGATTTTCTTTCAAACAGACCGCGGAACATTCATGGCTTTTGCCTGGTCAGATCATGGCAGTGCTGGAATCAAGGAGACAGAGAAATGCGAAATCAAAGAATGAAATACGAGCCTAGAAAATGAGGAGGAACAAGAAAGGAAAAAGAAAACATATCCCCCAAGTCTTTGACCTATCTCTCCATCTCGATCCCTCTGCAGAATGCTTTTTTGGCGAAACATTGAAAAATGGTCAAGGATATCATGAGCACATAGAACATCGTGTTTCAGACCTTTTCCCCCTCCCACAAGAAACCTGACCCTCAAGTCGAATATGTGAAGAAATGAAAATGGAATGGAAATTGTCGGATACCTAGACGTTGGGGCGGTTTAGCCCTGGTACCCTTGGAAACCATTGTTAAAGTTCTGGCCTGGAGGCGGAGAGGACCACTGCTGGTTAGGTCCCTGCTGACCACGGCCGTAGCCACCAGCACTGGGAGGACCACCATAGCCCATGGGCTGCGCGTTGTAGCCTGCTGGAGACTGCGCAGGAGCTCCAGCGTATGGCTGTTGCTGAGCTACGGGCGTGCCGTATTGACCTAGTTGCTGTTTAGCAGACGGAAGTAAACGAATAATCCAGGCAGACAACTTACCACCGTACTGGGGAAAGTAGGTAGAAGGCGTGCCAGGGTAGCCACCAGAGGCGTGAGCACTCTGAGGGCTGTAGGCCTGCTGCGAGGGATCGAAACCACCAGTCGCAGAGTTGGGAGTCTTATCCTTGCCCCACTGCTTCTTGTTAGCAACCCTCTTGCCAGGTTCACATTGATTGACTTACACTGCACTTCAGAGGACGCCCATTGACCTGGTATCCGTTAAGTTGGCAGATCGCCATGGCGGCATTCTCGTGTGTATCCATCTTGATGAACGCAAAGCCTCGGTCTGACTGCATCCGCGACTCCTGTACATAACCAAAGTTCGAGAAGAGGGGAACCAGATCGTTCTGGGTTGTGTAGGGCGTCAAGTTTCCTACATAGCAGGTCGTCTGCCACGCAGGTGTCTGACCAACGATCATATCGTAGCTCTGGATGCCGTGCGTAGGGAAATGATGGTGGCCGTAAGGAGTAGTGGGTGTCATTCCCATGGCAGCCATTGCCTGTTGCTGTGCAATCGAAGGCTGGCCCTTCTGGTTGGCCCAATTGCATCGAATGGCTCGAGAACCGAGCCACTCTCCGTCCATGGAACTCAGTGCCTTCTCGGCATCGGCGCGATCGCGGAAAGCAACGAATCCGTAGCCACGAGAACGACCAGTCTTCATATCCCACATGACACGTGCCTCAGAGATTGTGCCAAACGCCGAGAAAGCTTGGAGGAGAACTTCGTCGTTAACTTCGTTCGAGAGATCACCGACAAAGATGTGGAAGTGGCCAGATGTATCCTCCTTGCTAGTCGTGTTCGACTGGTAGGCCCAGTTGACGCGGATTTCCTAGAAGTAAACCTTGATAAGCATTTTGGACAAGCAGGGACCGGGGGAGGTGACCAGGCTTACCGACTGGTGAACGCGACGGCCGTTCAGTGTCTGCAAAGCACGTTCGGCAGCACCAGGGTCGTCGTACTCGATGAAGCCATAGTTGTAGCCCTTTTGCTGGTTAAAGGTGTCAGTTGTTTGACGTATAGCATGAATACAACGAGCAAAACGCTGTATTGTATGTTCAATCGTTCACGGCCACTCACATTCTTGTCAGGGATGATCTTCACATTCTGAACATGACCAGTAGTCTCGAAGATTTGGCGAAGAACGTCCTCCGTGACACGGGGGTCGAGTCCACCGACGTAAAGAGCCCTCTTGTTAGGTTCGGGAGCCATGCGGCGGGCAAAGGGACCGCCACTGCTAGGGGACATCATGCCACTCTGATCGCCGGACAAGGGAGAGGTAATGGCAGTCGGAATCGGGTTCGTGTTCTGCGGAATGTGCAGCGGCGGCGGCGGCATGTGAGCCGGGTTGGACTGGCCATTCTGGCCGCCTTCGAAGCCAGGAGCGCCAGCATTGGGCTGGGGTGGAGGCGGCAGTTGACTCGAGGTCTGGGGCGGTCCGTTCTCAGCCATGATGTTGGTGTGTTGCGGGATCGCGAGGGTTCGATGAGGTGGTGAGGAGGTGACACAAGGATTATTTCTTTTTTGGCAGTTCAGTGTTGCTCGAAACTCGACAGCACAGCGCGCAAAGCAAGATTGGCGGGTGAAGGTGGGAGGCGGTGGGCCAATGAGAATCCGAAATCGCAAACGGTTGTCGCGACCTGGTATTCGCTGGAAAAGCGACCGAACAGACTGCTCAAAAAAAAAGTCACAGGCTTGCTTGGTGAGATAGAGACAGTGGATGATTGCAGCTTCTGCAACCAATTCAAATCGCTGATTCCGGCGGGGCTCAAGGAGATTGTAATTAATCTAGTGAGGGCAGCACAACGCAATAGACAGAGAGTCCTTGGTTGTAGCCAGATTGCTTCTTGGGCGGAATTTGTTCTTGTGCAGATGCTCGTAAGAGTTGGAGCCTCGAGCAAGACAGGCGCGTTCCAGAATACAAGGCTAAGCGCTCACACGAATGCGACGGAGAGGAAATGCGATGCGAATCCAGGGGAAAGGCAGTGCTAGATGCTGCTGCGGTTCGAAACAATCGAAGATGACGCCAACGCCGAAACGATGCGATGCGATACGATGTAACACGATCTGGCCTGCTTTCTAAAAGATTTGAAAACAACAGGAGAGTGACTGGGCACGGGTGGCCAGTCAGGAGATTGTACCGGTCGAGCGGCGGATTGACAAGGGAAAGCGAAGAAGCAGACTTGAATCGACGAGGACCGCGACGACGAAAGGCAACCACTAACTAGATATTAGTGGAGGCGATTGACTTGGTAGGAAGGCTGCTGCGGCGGCGACGATGAAGAAGAGAGGAGACGACCAAAAAAGGACAATGAGAGGGAATAGAGAAGAAAGGAAACTGCCTTGGAGGAGTCCCCCGGGTTTTGACACACAAAATCACCGGATACGTTGATTTTCTCTGCCGATTCGGACGATGAAGAAGAGGAAAGAAGAGAAGAAGGGAAAGCAAACGGGAATCTCTCGTCACGCAAAAAATGGCGGATGAACCTTGGGTTTCTTTGGGATTTGACGGCGGGTAGGCAGAGGCGCCGACGCTGGGGTTCGCTCTAAGCCAGCTTGCCAGATTGGTCCCTTGATGCCCTTTTCAGGTCGCTAAAGCAGAAGCTTGGACGAGGGAGGGACACGCTTCCCCTCCAAGCCCATTCATTCTAGCGAGGGGCATTGCTTGGACCGGCGACAAAATATGGAGATTTGGGGTTCTATGCCGACCCTAGGTGTGTTCTTCACAATCGCGCATGTAACCACATTGGAAAAAAGTGTGAGGATTTTGTCTCGCAGTTCACCTACTTACTCATCGATCGCACATTGTCTCTTTACCTTTACTATATTATCCAATACTAATATGCAGTGACATATGTACATCAGATCATGTAGACTCTTTTGAAGAACACAAGTAACATGGAATGCATCCTGAATCTCTCCCTAAGTGGTACGCGCCGGGTTCGTGGCACTGAAACTGCATGTGCAACGCACAATTCCAAGGTATACCAATGCAATCAATTGAACAATGATCAAAAATTCGTCTGGCTGAATGAGAACGAAGCATTCAACAAAGCCCTTTCTCAAAAATCGACCAGGCAAGTTATGACTTCAAACCACTTACCATGTATATTTCTGTAGGTGTGGGGGTGGTTGGAGCAATCTGATCGATTCCAGAGATTTGGTTCGGTTCATTCCCGCCGAGCCGTTGGACATACACACACTGAACAATGTCAGCTCCAAGTTCCCTCCATCCCAACGCTTGTGCGGGACTGTCAACACTTTTCCTCCCCGTTTCGTACATTGAAATCGGCGACAACCGTCAATGTCAGTATTTTGCATCGTGTAGCCCTTGTAGACGGAAGCATTGCCCTTCATTAATCATGAGGCCTTGACATGAGGCTCATATCCACTCAAGTGACGACCCATGTTACTCAGAACTGACAACCTGGTAAAGTGCTACAACAGATGCCATAGCAACATATCTGAGCGTACAGCGCATTCCATGGAATAATTACTTTGTACCAGTCTGGCCTTTGATAAGACCCTGCATGATTTGCCAAGATGAAGGTTCCGGCGCGGTATCATAATCCTTCATTTTCTTTGCAGGGTGCTTGCGTATCAAGCGCCGAAATTCCGTGCTCTATCCCTACGTCTTGCCAGTAATGCAGGTCGTAGTTGTCCATCAATTGCACCACGGCAGCCAGCATAAGATCTGACAGAAGAGCAGCATGTCTTCTCATCTCCCAAATGGCGTTTTAGATTGAAGATTGATGCACAAAGAAGCCGCCAGAGGATGTGTCTCTATCCAAACTTGGCAGACTTTTCGTCCATGATCGCGCAACACACAATGTTCAGATGACAGTTGGGCGGCGGCTACCTTAAACCCCCCCAGGGACGGGTTTTAGCCTTGGTCATCCAACCCCACGGCCGGCGATCCAATCTGGGATTCAGGGTCAGGAACAAGGTGCAAAGAAGGCAAGGCAAGCAATGTGGGGCCCGACCCCGTCCAAATGTCACACACGTATCCGGAGGTAGCGTGGCATTGAAGCATTTTTAGCGATCGGTGCTAAAGAGACTCCCGCACAGGCTTTCTAACCTTATTCTTACTCCATTCAATCAATCGCCTGCTTCTTCAGCCTTCAGGGTCCCCCCTCCACCCATCAATCACGGCCCTTGCATATAGTCTGCGACTCCATATCAAGGTTTCTTTGCTTTGGCGTGCTTTCGACTCTTCCGTCTAGCTACCTCGGCCACTTTTCCCACAGTCGTCATCATTTCTCACCAAGAGCGAGCTCTCTTTCACCTACCTTGTCGTTGATCATTCGCCATGGCGGCCGCTCAGGCAAAAGATCCTCTGGATGTCCTCCAAGCCATGTTCCGAGAAGCGGTAGGTATCATCGCGCAACGTCTTTCCGATCACTCCACTAATGCCATTCTTCGGTTCTAGTTAGTCCAGACTGGTAAGGCCATCAAGGCATCGCAGAAGGACGGGACTAGAAATGGGGCCAGCGCCGGTGTCGCATTGCGCACCAAAATGCCCGAGACCATGAAGACATATCACTATGCTCTAGACGATATCGAGAGCGAAATCGTGCGTTGATGATTTCACATGGCTGTTTGCGAGCTTATCACTGACTTATTATACGCAGACCAGGGCCAAGGCAGTTCTCCTGCGAGATCTGCAAAAGCTTCAAGCAGCCAGGGCTCCCGTTGTCGTCCCATCACCTGTTGCTCCGCCCGCTCCCATGGTGCCGGAGCCTCAACAGCCGGCGGCGTTAATGATGGACATGCCATCGGCAGCTGCCCATACTGTCAACACTAATATCAACTTCCAGCCTACCCGGGAGGAGACCAAGAGGGCACCATTCCCCGACATGGGCATGGGTCTTTCATCAGACGTGCCAGATCTGTCGTCAGATATGAAACCACCTACAGCTTCACCACGCCCTGCTTCTGCTTCTGGAAAGACGGGTGTAGTAAAGCAAGGGACGCCTCCGATCAAGCAATCCCCAAAACTCACACAAATGAACAAGATCACCCCTGTGCCGCCGCCGCAAGTGCCTCAACCATCGGCGATGGGACCAGCAACACAAAAAGCAGTGGTCTCCCCACCTCAGCCTGCTGCTGCTCAAGTTGCTCAAGATAGTTCCCTTGACGCCATGCTCGCTCTGCCCCCCACAGGCGGTGCTGCCACTGCCGACATGACCGGCGGTGAGCTCAATTTCACCAACATGGAGTTTACTCTAGCACCTCCGTCCGACGGCCAATCTCAAAACGCGCCACCCGCTCCAATGCAAGAGTTTGACATGTCTGCATTCACAACACAGGATATGGGAGGAGACCAGACGGCTATGGATAAGAACAATAATACCAACAACAATTCGTCTAGTGCTGCTCCAGCCAATGCTGTGGGCACAACATCTGCGAAGGCTGCCGAAGTTACAGCTCAGACAGGAAGTCAAGACTCAATGTATGATTTGAGTAATATCGACAATGGTAATGGCGATCAGATGGACCTGGACTTGAGTTTAGGCGGAGGTGGAGAGGTTCACGATAGCACTTTCAACGATCTGTTCTTTGAAGACGCTGATGGAGGCATGGGACAATTCGATGATGCCTTTTTTGGGCTCGAGTAGGCGATTTATTTATACTCGAGGATCTTAGCAGAAGGCCAATGTTCTGTGGCAAACAGATGCAAGTTGATCTCATAGTGAGGTGGTTCGAAGAATTATATTACCGGCTTGGTATCTCTCAGGCACCACAGCACAAACAAGATTCTCCATCACTCTCTTGGTGAGCAAAAAGAACTTCTACTGCTATATAGTTGACAGGCTCCAACCAAATGCCCAGTGATTACCTCTCAGGTTATCGAGCAGCTAGACACATGATTTTGAAATTGCGAGTGGGACAACCGTGACATGGACTCTGCTCTACGCTCAAGGTTCCTTGGGTTACCGGCACATCGGATGGCATTTGAAGATTTTGAAGATTTTAGACTTTGAATATGAAGGCTTTGCTTTCATTAGTAGCTGTTACTTCTTTCCATTATGTCAGTCCAGCTGGCCAAACCCAACCTATACGTTGTCAGCGTTCTAACCAGCGTCGATATTGCTCTCTAAAAACCAAAGGGCGTGTCCACTTTAACAAGGCTTTTGGTCTTATTGCTCTATCATATACCCATTTATTGTGAAGTTTTCGGGACCAACTTTTCTCTTTATGCATTACTCGGGGATTATATGGATTCGTTGCCGCTAGATTCGCAATACCCTTAAACCTTTATTCCAGCTTTACAGTCGAATTTTATAGTACTTGCTTGGACAGAGAGTCATCGTAAGCAGGTGCTTCCGTGACCAATTCACTTCATTGTGCGTTATAATTCTGAACATGTCTAGTACTCCCTGAGTAAAGGGTGCCATGGCGCTCTAGTCTTCGAAAGAAAAGTAATGCTATAATACTTTGCTTTATGTGCTCTCTTATGTCCTCAGTCCAGTTCCAGGGGGGAAAACTGCTAAGCTTCACCTCTATGTAACGAGGAGAAGCGAGGCTTGTTATGGGAGCAACAGTCTGTTAATCCTCACGCAGCATAACACCTATGCGCGTTTCTATTCGTCGAGGACTTTTGGGTTCACAATTATAACGCGCCTCAAGGTTGCCTAAGATTGCTGTGCACGGCAATTGCGCCAGAGGTGTTCGCTGACACGGGGGCGTTTTAGGTACGCCCGGCTTGAATGGTACCTACCTACCTAGTAGGCAGGGAAGAATCCGACTAATGCACATTTCACATTTTCTTGGCGAAGAGAGGGGTGAAAACGGGGTTGGCATTTTCTATTATATCATGAACAAATCTTCAGTTGACTTTCCTCAGGCGTGGTTTTAACTTCTTCCATTTATGTTTGTCCAAGACTTACATTGGTCCTTGTATATTTCATGAGGCTTAAATTTACAACTATGCTTCGCTTTTCCTTTCGATTGCCCCTGGGCCACAATGGCTTTCGCGGTCTCGCCAACATCGCTATCTACATATTCGTGGCATCTTTGATTGCAACTGCTTCTGCCTCCGGACATGACACTCTTCCAATTCATCGTGACCCGTCATCACAGATACAAATACCAAACATTGTTACCGCCGGTATGACTACAAACTGGATCTTGTCAACGTATTCAACAGCTATGGATTTTTCCTTCAACCTCATAGTAACCTTGAAGACTGGAATATTCGCTGTCGGGTCTATATGCCGGATGTACCCTCTAAATCTAGTCCTATGGTCCCTCTGTGTCGCTCTTGTGGGAGTATCTTGTGCTTTCGAACAGGTGCCCAGCCATGTGAGGTTTTGGTTGTAAGTTTTCCGATTGTGTCCGAGTTACGCTCGTCTGAAGTAGGACACTTCCCTATGTCCGACTTATTCGATGATGGAGTTATTTTACGGGAGAGTACCCATACTCACAAAAGCTGCTCCCAAGTGCTACGTGCCTCACATTCTCTTGGTTGGTAACGACCATCTTGCATATCTACGGACACATAAGGAGATTCCAGAGCATTGGACGTGCCGATTCGTAGGTTACTATGCTACTCAGCTTTCCTTGAGATCCGTATCTGACGTTTGTGCTAATCGTGCACATCATTGCAGATTTATCGTGACAACAGCCGTGTTGTCCTTCGCCTTTATTAAAGCATTCGCTATCCTTGGCGGTTATGATATAGTCGCTCTGATCCGAATTCCCCCATGTTTTACTTTGGCAGCGTGGATTTCAAGCCGCTGGTGCAATCTCAATGCTACACCAGAAGCACAAGCCGGTGTTTGAATTGGTGCATCTTCCTGCTTCTTGGCATACTTGTTTGAACATTTTGGAGGTCTCCTTCAGGCTGTTCATACTCATTCATACCCTGCTGGGAGATCAGTCCGTGTTATAACATTATAGAAATGACATGGAAAAGATTGGGTATGATGGATAGCGGCATGGCGAGCAGGGAAACGAGTTGGCGCATATTGCGATTTTCTCAAAACACAAGCGTGTTACTAGGCAAGGGAGTGTTGTTCCATTCGAAAGGGTCTGCTTTGGAGTAAGTTGGAAATCACGGTTCAAGGTTCGGATGATGGATAAATACTGGGCATAGGGCGTGGGGAGCAAAAGTCGGTCATTGAGCTAGCAGCAAACTATATTTCGTACCGCGTTTCTTGAACCAGTCCCGCCAGTAATTTATTAGATATTCCTTTACAAAACGAGTAATGACTATGTAATCACGAAGCCGCAGTGGTTGTTGAAAGGCGATTCCGGCCCAGTTTTCTCCCGGCGGAGGGTTTGGGACTGTCGTGCAACTATCCCAGCGTCGCGCCGGGAGAGTCAACCTTGCTTCAATTCATATGACGCTCAAAGTATCATGAGTCTCATAGATTCAGGCGTGCGAAACAGATAATGGGTATGTTTCGATAGGCTGTAGATGCAGCCGACAGTGGATAGGGTTGGGATCTTGGCCGTGTTCCCTCCCAAACCAACCAACGCAACAGGCCGTCAAAGAGTATTATGCAGAGACACCTGCACACCCACATACGCCATCTACTTGAAAGGTACCTACATATTTGCCTTGTTCCGGCTGCCAGTGGAGGGAGCTGGAAGCACTGTACATGTACCGCAGGGGACGCCAAGCACAACGTGCTCCCGTCCCATTTTCTGAAGACCTTCCAGACCATGTGATTTGTTTCTTTTCCACTACCACCTTGCCAATCCAGGACAACCTCCTGGTGTTTGTCATTGGCCAGAACTCCAGTCCCTGTTTTTTTTCCCTTTGGTTGTTTGCAGCAATATTCATTTTACTATTTCTGTCCTCACGCCCCCTTAGCATATCTTTCTCTTGCATACTTATACCTCAAGACTGCCTCTTTCATTTGTCCTTGAAATCCCTATTCCAACGGCGCACAAATTCAAAACTATGGTTTGCCTTAGGAATCAATCATTTCGGTGCAATAGCTGTCACGCACTTGCTTACATAGCGATGTTGCTCTTTTTTTTATCATTTGTTAGCACCGCATATGCCACGGCGCCAGGCATATCTCCGAGCATCCAACAACCTGTAGCAGCTCATTTGACGACAACACTTGATATTCCCCACATTCGTACTGCTGTCGCAAACCCGAGGGCACACACATATCCAACAACCTCAATAATCACCCGTGGCACTCTGACCCATTTATGGGATGCAGTAACCCCTTTTTGGTCGAAATGTCGAATTCACGCCTTGAAGATCGCGCTATGGTCTCTCTGTATATCTCTCATGGTTTTCTCTTGTATCATTGAACATGACACAAGTCCGATAAGACTTTGGCTGTAAGTCAACGACGATTTATTATTCATTATATAGCTAGCACCCGCAGCCTAATCTACCCCACACCCCTATTTCCCCTGCCCTCCCTTCTTCTTCGTCTCCCTGGTGCGCGATCCTGCTAACTAGGTTACATAGGTAGGTACCCATGAGCATCAAATAGGTCCTCATGTACAGAGTACCTGTGGGATTTATGCTAACATGTATTCCACACTAGCGCATTATGCCTAGCATTCTCCTGGCTCGTTATAATCAGCCTGCATCTTCATAAAGTTATCCGAAAATTCCAGATCCGCGGACGTGCTGATTCGTAGGTCATATTACTGAGTTTCCTATTATACACGATTCCCGAATCTTCTAATTATATAAAAAAAAAATCGCTAATGTAATACACGAAGCTTCATCGTAACTACAGCAATGTTGTCTTTCATTTTTATCAAGGCATTCGCTATACTTGGAGGCTATAGTATAAGCGCCCTTTTACGGGTCCCTTTATGCTTTACCTTGGCAGTATGGATTACAAGTCACTGGTGCAATTTTGATGCGACGCCGCAAATCCATTTCGGCCCCTAAACCTCTTACACATCCTTCGTTTCGCTCAACACTCATGTATTACCGGTGCAAGAGGTCTTTTCATCTCCAAAATCAGGTCTTGGATGGTGGATAGAACAGAAAGGATATGGGACTTGGGACTATAGGGTTGGCAAACAGTGGCATGGTACATGGAAAAGGAGTCAACGGATGCTAGGACTTTATTGGTATCAATACATTCCGAGAAGAACCGCGTTATTGAAAATTGGTTAGAGCACGACGCAATGACGGACTGCAAGGACCGAGATTTGTCGGGACATGACGATAGAATTATTGGCATAGAGATACTGCTTGTTCTCGCTTGCTATGTAGTTTATGCATTCATTTTCTAGATTCGTTCCACGGTAAATGTAGTTCCAGCGACCAAGCACATGGAACCTACCAGATACATTGAAGACCACGATCACGTATCCATCTGAGGCCATTGAATAAGAACTATTCAACGTACATGTGTCTCTAGTATCAATTACCAGGTCTAATAGGCTTCGGGCCTTGAACATAATCAAAAGTCCCAATAACATTCGTCAACCAAACATCCTGAGCACCTTGAGGAATGATGGGGTCGCCGCCAAATTGTGAACCCGACAAGAAGGTGTGCGGGAATCCAGGATCAAACATGTTTGCCTTTTCAATCTCCAGCAGGTCGTCATCAGACAAGCTGACCTTTAAACCTTCCACAGCGTCCTCGAGATGTTGCAAGGTGCGGGTGCCCACGAGCGGAAAGACGTACGGCTCCTTTTGCATCACATAGGCCAGGGCAACCGTGTGAAGCTTTGTCCCCTTGGCGACTGAGATGCTCTCCATTTGTCTCGATACCGCTCGGTACTTTTCGCTAATGGGGCCCTTCCTCCCGGGGTTGTTGCTCTCTCGCTCCTTGTAGGCCTGTTCCGTCTGGAACTTTCCGTGGCCGAGGGCGCCGTAGGGAATCAGAGCCATGCCCTCGTCCCTGCACATGGGAATAATGTCGCGCTCAAAGTCGCGCACGGCGGCGTTCCATAGTCCTTGGTAGGCAACGAATTGACGGAGGCCGTGGTCGCGCGCATACTGGTTGGCCTTGGTGACGACCCACGCCGGACTAGATGGTGTGAGTAGATGTCTTGGCGGGAACTGTGCGAGTACAATGCATCTTACCAGTCAGAAATACCCAAGTAATTGACCTTGCCAGCGACAACGAGATCATTCAGAGCATGCATCAATTCCGGGATGGTGGAGTTGTAGTCCCACCAGTGAACGTAGAAGAGGTCAATGTAGCTGGTCTGCAAGTTTCGAAGCGAATTCTCCAGCGTCAGGCGAAGACTCTTGGTGCCGTTGCCTCCAAAATTGGACTGAATCTTGACATGCTTCTCGTGCTTGCGATACGGACTGGAATACTTGGTCGCAATGACAAATTCGTCGCGGTTGCCTCTGGCTGTGAACCATTCGCCGAGCCACTGCTCGGACTGCTGGGATTGATACCCGCACGCCGTGTCGAGGAAATTGCCGCCGAGCGCCCAAAACTTGTCGAGAATGGCAAAGGCCGTCTCCTTGAAACATTCACCCAGACGCGCTTTATCGGCCTCGCCAAAGCCCATGGTGCCTAGACAAAGTGGGGAGACACGGACATTTGCTGTTGGTGCCAGCTGCCGGTGACGGTAGAGGCGGGACTCTGGGGGTTCTGGAAACGGGAAGGGAGGCGCCATGATGAGAATTCGGATAAACGTAGCTCTATCGGTGCGCGTGGAAATTTTCCGAGATGCTCAAGTATAGGCATTGTATGGGGAAACTTGCTTCATCTTATATAGATTTCAAGGGTCAGTATTCTTACCAACCAAGCATGTTTTCACATGACGTGTGATAAGCAAACTGCATCTCTGGCTCATCTTTCGGTTCTCGTCGACCGGAGTTAGGATGAATATTTGCGATACTGGAAAGGCTTTCGGCAATAAACGAGTATATAGATATCGACTCAGACGTGTATTAGTCAGTATAGGGAATAGATCGATGCTAGTGTTTGTCTAGCCTCTAGCCAAGAGAGCTCATGCTTCTATTGGTCAATTTTTCATGACATAGGATAAGCAGACTGCATATTCCGTACTCTGAGTGGAGAACGTTGCAGCGGGAATTGCCGTAAGTGGAGACTACACTACCTCCATGAGTTCTTTCAGATTCAAACTGCGAGACCCTTCATTCACCTCTGCTCCTTCGAATGCTACATTTCTGCCAGCTCACCTATCAGCTGTCGATAGTAATTCGCGCCTTGATCTCCATGGTCCTTCGATGGCGGGGTTAACGACAGATAGGCGCAGATAAGCAAGTATAGTGACACCCTGAACGGCCATATACCCGGGCGAACCGCGGACCAGCGCTTCACAGGAGCGGTAACTAGGTACAAAGTCTACCGAGACATCAATCAAATTGGATCAAAATAGAGGACTTATTACAGAATCATGGCTCAAGCCGTATCTCCGGAAGTGGGTCTTGAAGTGACTGCCGGCCCAGGTGCTCCTCAAACGCGTGTCGAGCTGGTGCCAATGAGTCAACAAAACAATGTCCGTAAGCCCGAGGACGACTGGACTGGTATTACGAGTGCAGCCGAAAGGCGGAAATTGCAAAATCGCCTAAGCCAGAGACGTTATAGTAAGTGGTCAACTTGTAGACTCATTGCTCATCCATGGGCTGTCCCATGTCAGACGATGACAGATTGGTTAATTTCGCAACAGGACAAGCAAGAGCAAGAACTAAAAAGGAAACACAGACCCCTCCAACACCGCCCGAGTGCTCGGCTTCCACCACAAGTGCACAACGCAACCTGGCAGTCAAGTTCAGGGGTCTTGCTAATGCCGTTAATCACCATGACAATACGCACAATAGCCTCCTTGATAAGATGGGGCCATCAGTCCTGAGGAAAATGGCCGATGAATTCGAAATAATGATGCAACGAGACTTTCTGCTCGGATCGCCGAGAGTGGATTTGGTTCTCACCCTCATCCAATTCAATGTCTTTCGAGCTCTATTGAGCAATACGCAAAGTCTCGGATGGGATTTTCAATGGCTAGAGTGTGAAGAACCTGATTCACCGTGGACAGCCGCAGTCAATAACGAGGACGCTACATCAACATACTCGTCTTGTCCATTGAGCTTACAGCCCACTGACATGCAACGCAAGGTGCGGCACCATCCGTGGATCGACCTTTGGCCGATCCCGAAGATGCGTGATAACTTGTTATTGGCTGCGGGGCTATATGACGAAGATGAGCTGTGCAATGTGCTTCTGGAATTCAAGGACATCCCCAATGAGCAATCAGGCCTCTTGGTTTGGGGAGAGCCCTGGGATTCGGCTTCTTGGGAAGTCAGTGCAACGTTTGTCCGTCATTGGGCCTGGGCGATCCAAGGATGTGACGAGTTGCAGGCATCAACCAATAGATGGCGCATCGCGCGGGGTGAGAAACCGCTGAGGTGGTAGAGGCACGGAACGTAATTCTCAATTATGAGGGGAGAAGGCTGCGTTATTTCAGCACTGCCCAATTGGTGAAATGATGTAGTCAATACCAGTAAAAAAGCCAGAGAACCTGCCTGTTAACTTCAAAGATATTTCCCAAAGTACAAGCTACCGATTTTCTATAAATGTGCACGAATGTGATTGATGACGTATAATAAGCCAGTTGCATCCAATTGCCCCATTTTATATGTATCTACATCAACTTGAATGTAACTTCTCCGTCGCTGAACCCTGCATACATTTGAAATGCCAAGACCCTGACTTGCCTTATCTACTCCGTACATGACATGGAAACAAAGCAAGGAGAGCTAATCCCATCACATTGTCAATCAACTCAGATTGTCAATATAAGAATCAGTCAAGACGCCATATGCACAGTCCAAAAAGTGCCGTAGCAGGTTATTAAACTGACATGACCTTGAACCAAGCTCTCAATCTCATCTCCAGTGTACACGCCAATCATGTTTGTCGTGAGACTCTTTACCTCACTTCTCTTTGCTTATATATCCTGTGCTTTTTCGACTCAGGATGTCCTCTCCATAGCTCGGAACGATCAGTCATCAACTGCAGCAGAAAACTGTGAAAAGGCCGTAAGTGATACATATACTAGCCACTAGCTACAATACTCTCTGCTGACTTGCAATGATTAGTGCCAAGAGCTGAGCAGCAACTTTGGTCCCGCCCTTCACTTTGGTGACAATGACCCAACATTTGTCATCTGGGACAAGAAACAACAGGATGCCCAGCCCGCCTGCCGGGTGACGCCCGTGACGGCAGCAGAAGTGGCACAAGCCCTGACCATTGTCTCCTCGCACTGGTGTCGCTTTGCCGTCAAGGGAGGAGGCCACTCTACCAATGTCGATGCCTCTAACTCTGTCGGCGGCGTCACCATTGACCTGGGCGACATGGACCATATTGATTTGGCACCAGATGGTCGTTCTTGGGCGGATCTGGGGCCGGGACTGGTTCTCTCTGATGCATATACTTACTTGGAACAATACAACCTCACGAACATTGGAGGCCGGGTGGCTGATGTCGGCCTGCCAGGCTACCTCATAGGCGGGGGAATCTCAAATCTGTCACCTCAATATGGTCTGGCCGTGGATAACATTTATGAATATGAGGTATACACCACCCCCAACATTAATCTCAACGCCACTGCTTTTTTCTTTCTACCACCAACCCCCTTCCCTTTAATACGGATGATCGTTGACATATTCCAGCTCGTACTACCCAACGCCACCATTATCAACGTGACCCAGAGCAGCCAGCCAGACCTGTACTTTGCGCTGCGCGGCGGTGGCAACAACTTTGGCATCATCACCAATTTTCGCGTGCGGCTGATACCGCAGGGCCCAATGCTCAGCGGCACCAAGGTATATCACGCCAACTACACGCGGCAGATTGTCGACCAGACCTACCAGCTGACCACGACGCTCTCCAACGACACCTTGATGTGCTTCTCGAGTCGCTATGCTTATAACCAGACGCTGGACGAGTTCTCGGTTTCCATGACCCAAGCGTATGCCCAGCCGATTCTTGAGCCCCCGGTATTTGCCACCTTGAACGAGGTCCCGTACGAGTCGAGCACCGTACGCGTGGACTGGATGAGCAACTTTGCTCTGGAATCTGTCCAACCACCTGGTACTCGGTATGTCCCATCTCTTTAACAAATGGCTATGATTGAAGGGGGCATCAGCTTATGATTCTAATAGCCAACTCTTCGGCACGGTGACGTTTGATCCCTCTGGCGACTTGCATCAGCAGATACTAGACGTTTTTGAGGATGAAGTGAGCCAGGTAAAAGACATTCCTGGATTTACCTCATCTGTTGTTGTGTCGGCTCTACACATAAATGCCATCAAGGCAATGGAGGCAAGGGGAGGCAACGCCCTCGGTGTCGAGTCTGATGGGCCATTGGACAGTAAGTTTAGTTCCCCGCTGTTGCATCATCCACCCTCCTTCGGTACCTCATCAAGCTAACCAAATCCTCTTTTTTGCAAAGTCGCTCTCTTAACAGTTGGGTGGTCCAATGCTACAGATGATGCTGCCATGAACGCCTTTGCCGACACGTGGATTACACGCAGCATGCAGGCGGCATCAGATGTGGATAGACTACATCCATGGCTCTATATCAACTACGCCAAGGATACACAAGATCCCTTTTCAGGATACGGAAAAGTAAACAAGGCAAGGTTAATCAGTATTCAAGAAGCCATCGATCCAAAAGGTATCTTTACTTCGACCGGACTCTGCCGGGGATCGTTCAAACTACGATAAGACTGCTTCGGCGAGATTCTTTAGTTGAAAAGGGGTTGAAACTCTGGCCAAGTCTGGTCATGCTTACAGACAAGACGACGAAACAATGATAAAATTGGCATGGACTTTTTGTGCTCTCTCCATCGCATTCTTCCTTCGGAGCTGATAGCGTGATACGATGAGATATTCGAATACAGGCAAGAACGCCAGCGTAGTAGACGACATTTGGATCTTAAGGGTGCATTTACAAATGTATCATTATGATGAAAGCTATGTATATCGGACTAGGTATCATAAAATATATAAGAGAAGAAAAAAAAATCCATCGCTCTGCCGTCAATGAAGCAGCCATCCATCCACATGAATCTGACAAAATTAGTCTCGCAGGGACTTATGGGCCCTGCGTCACCTTGAACAGATCCGCCATGGACGTGTAAAAGTTCTCATTCCTCACTCCGGTCCAGTCCTTGTTCATGAAGCCCCAAGTCTCCTCAACATCGGTCGCGCCATTGCGGGCATAGTACGAGCCCTGAATAGCCCAGAGCGCCCAGTCCATATCGTTGCCAGTCATGTACTGCTTGATACAATCATAAAAGGTCTGCCCGGCATCCGTCAGGCCGTTATTGGGCCCAGTGGTGAGGTCGACGCCAAACTCGGACAGGAACAGGGGCGCCGTGTAAGCCTCGCCCTGGGCGAGCACGAACCCGTCAAAGAGACCGTACAGGGCCTGTTTTGCGTCGCAGTTATCGCCCGCCGCGGCGTACGTGACGCTAAACTCGTACGCGTGCATCTCCCAGACGTGCTTGCCGGCCCAGGCGCTGTAATCCAGATTCTTGGCCTTGAGGAAAGCCAGATCCTGCGTCGACTGCGTGCCGCCGACCAGTACCAAGACGTCGGGGTTGGCCTCGTGGACGCGCTCGCCGCCCTGCTGCATGAAGTTGTACCAGGCGCCGTGTCCGTCAAACACGTCCTGCAGGACCGGGTAGGGTCGCGGCTCGTTGCGGAGCGACATGGCGACCACGCCCGGGTGACTCGTGGCAAAAGTGGCCATGGCAGCCAGACCGTCGAGCCAGTTTTGCGTGTTGAAGAAGCGGCTGTTGGATGCTACGTAGGCTTGAGCCTCGTCCCACCAGCCATTTCCATCGTCCAGGTTACCTTGATATATGTATAAGTGATGTTGATCATAGGAAACGGAGACTAGAAATACTTACAGCACCAGCTAGCCTTGCTAACATGGTTGTCGAGTACCGTCATGACCTTTCTCTCCCAGAGAGCATCAATCACCGCAGCAAAGACATCCTGGGTGGTTGCATTCTCGACAAAGGGATTCTTCTCCGCCACTTGGGCATAGATAGCATTAAAGGCATCCGCGGACACATTAGCAGCGCTGGCGCCGGCGGTAAAGGACTCTTGGACACTGACGCCTGGGTCGAGGGCGTGGTCGATTGAGTAGGTCAGGCGCACACAGTTGAAGCCTTGCTGCTGGATAAAGTCGGCGATAAAGTCAATGGACTGCTTGTTGAGACCCTCGGGGATGTTGGCCTCCATGTGCCCGGGCCAGTTGATGCAGCGAAACTTGACCCGGTCGCCGGCGTCATCCAGAATCCATCGGCTGTCCGTCTTCAAGGGAAGCTGCTGGGCTAACACCGTACCCAGTACGAAACTTGAAGCTCCCAATAACGAAGCGAGCTTCATTGCAACAAATTAAAATTTAGTAGTAAAGTTGAACAATATTGATTGAGTGATTCGTTCAGTGAGAACCACGACAGAGTAAATTGGAGGCCTGGCTCATGCAGTGAAATGAAGGGATCTTCTGATCATCACAACTCCACCGTTGTGACTTCGCGACATGGGAAGATCTGTGGGGTCAAGATATTGTGAAAGAAAACAAGCAGGAGGCAGAAACTCAAAACCAAGACAGTTGTTTACCCAAGGGTATGGTCCCTTAAAATATAAACAGAAAAATGGGGAGAGGGACCACGAGCCAAGAACTCATTCCCTGGCTATAGAGGTGAATGCTGCACGCGCGTGGCAAATAGTCACAGCTATAAAGGGGCCAACCAACCATATAGGAAACATGAGACCGGATGACATGAGGCTCAAGAGGCTGTACGAGGTTCAGGCGGGAGAAAAAGGCGGGAACGTAGGAAGAACTTGGATGGCCATGCTTGTTCTTTTTACCTTCTCAAAGGGTGTGAAGCCACGGCCACGAGTGTGCGCTACTGTGCCCGTGTATGTATGCATGTATACCTACCTACATTGCCATGATGTATGTACATGTGTGTGTATGCTACGTTGTACCTAGTATATCATGTAGCGGCGCTTCCAATTGAATAGCAAGCAGCCGACCCCGGATCGGCACACGAGATGCAGCATACAGATTTGGCAAAGGAAAAAGACGGCGGAGCCAGTCGATGCGATTTGACCAGGAATACCATCCTGTTCAGGGGTGACACCTGCCCGGAATTGCTAATGAACAAAGTTGACTTTGGGTTATGTCGCGCTCTCATTCGCAGTCGCGCAGATGAGAGAAGTGGTGTCCAAGCATTCTTGGCTTGCTTGGGAGGATCCCGGAGCTAATGTAGGTCTGTATGTATGTAAGTAAGTATGTCCGTAGGTAAAACTGTAAACGATTATCCTTTCTAAATCCCAGTACTACCCTTGCTGCAGGTCAAATTGCACCTTGCCGAAGCTGCATATATGTCGACTAGTCTACTGCGTACTGCTCAGTGCTGAAGAGGCGAAAAAAAAGGGCAGAAATCAAGATTCGAGCGCATGCTTGGATGGTCAACAGGGAGGGGACCCCAAGGTCGCAGAGGCGTGACAACAGCATGTGATTGGATGTCGCACGGGACCTGGGCTTATTAGTAAAGATGAATTGGGTTGGTGGTGTTTGATGGTGTGTGTGCAGGTGGGTGATGGATGACCCTGATTTGGCCCTGCGCGCGGGGGGAAAATCAACGGGGAGTTCCATTTTTTGCCTTGGGACTTGGCAACACACCATCATATTGTCTCTGCCGCTCTTGTGGGGTAAGAAAGCGCCACAACCGTGTTGTGTACTACGTACTCTTTTTCCAACAATCGACCAGTGATCGTTTTCACCCAAGAAAAGTCCGGTTTCATGTGTACAAAGTATAGCATATCAGTATAATATCAAAGTGGCAATATAGTATGTTGTTGAAGATCAAGTGGCGGACCCAAGGGACCAGCCGGGTTTGTAGTATTAGTAGTATCTACGGTAACACATGTATTTACATCTATGGATGTTTCGAATTCGTATAATCATAATCCACGAGCCAGAGTCTTGTCATCGCTCTCGGCTCTCCTTCCCACTACTCCATTTCAAAGACTTTCCAGAGCCTGCCACGCAGATGCCTCTACGTGGTACTCCCACTAAACTCCTGGGTATCATGTTTGTTGTGTTTTTGTTTGAAATCAAATAACCCCCTGATGGGTGTCATTTATGATGCTGCACCGCTGCTCCCAGTCGCTGCCGTTTGTCGAGCCTCTAATTCTCTCCTCTTGGAGAGCAAGCTCTTGAAGGCTCCGAGGCACTTTACAAGGGTTTCCTCGTCCTGGGTGCAAAATCGATAACTCTTCTCGTCTGTAATGATTTGCATACAGAATGGCTTATTCTTGGCCAGAGCGTCAATATCCACCACGTTGACGACCGTGGACAGCGGCATGATAAAGGCAGCCGTGTATTCGGCCTCGTCCTTGTACAGAATCAAGTTCCTGGGTCGAAGAACGGCCCAGCAGTTCTTCCACTGCCTCACGCCGCGCTTGTGCTTGAGTAGTTGCAGCCAGCCCTGCCAGACGACCCTGTCAGGATCATTCTCAATATTGAGGCCACTTAGCTGGCTCAGGTTCCTGCCGGTCAGCACAGGTCGCAACTGCGCCGCCGAGTTTGACATGGATCGCGATGTAAGATTTTCCAGAGATGCCCCGACACGAGGCGCCTCGGAATCAGAGAAATCTGAATGAGACACAAGCTCATTGCCAGACATTCCCGATGACTCCCAGGTATGTGACGGCCTCCGCGTCGATGAAGACAGCGGCTTGGGCGGCAGAATATCAATCGGCTCAGGCGAAGATGAAATGTTTCGATCTTGGTCGATTGAGGTGTCTTTTCGTGCGCCAGATGTGTTGTTGCCCAGCACATCCACAGCCGCATAAGACTGGCGGCGCACGATCGGGCTCGCGAGGAACATTTCCTCTTCCTCCTCTTCGATCCTGGCATCGCGGCGGATGAGCTCTATCCACTCTTGCGCATCTTCGGCGCTCGACGCCTCAAAGTGATAGTTCTTGGCCGGAGAAAAGAGGCCAAACAAGTTGTGGCGCTTCTGCTTCGGGTCCTTGAGCAGAGTGACTGCAGATAATTCGGACAGGTAGATCTTGTGACGGAGCTTGCTCTCCTTGTCCGACTTGTAAAGAGAGAGGGTATTTGGGCGCAACACTAGGTAGACGGGCTTCCATGTCTAGGCGATACAATGTCAGTACAGGTCCGGATTCGGGCTCTCAACGGATGCGTCGCCTACCTTGGTCTTTTGTGTACGCTTCTGGACGTAACCAGACTTGATAACCCGGTCAAACTCGAAACTGCCGTTCTGGTTGACGGGGCTAGGGGACGCCAGACCCAACTGGTTGCGCAGTCGGCTTGTCACAGTGGAGGTAAAGGCAGTGGCTGCAGCAGGTATCATGAGTTTTGCGCCGCGCCCTGGGAGCTTCGGAGAGGACGGAGACACATCTGTCGCGGCTGGTTGACTAATGGTTTCCGCCATTTTTTTTAAGATTGACCAAGACGTGAAGAGTGATTGTTGCGCTGGGGAATAGAGTTGTCGCCTAGGTCTTGCGCATTAGATATTATTTACTCGTTGGGTTGAGTATGCTGCGCTGTCGAAACTCGTTCCCGACTTGACCGTGGCAGGGAAAGCCTGGTGGCTATTACGTCGAAAAGATCGGTAGGGACAAGTCGAACAACTGTCGGTGGCCTAGTGGGAATTTTGGTACCCGGGATACTGCGGTAAAATAACGTAGTCTTGCATGAATGATGCGGTCGACTGGTCGAGCTCAGCGGGGTCGGGGGTGTTTGTGCTGGGGTCAAGCTCGCCAGGGAAGTGTCGTTCCTGACGGCAGATGGCCCGGGGACAGTCGAACCTAAAAGCGACTTGGAATCGATCGACACAAATTCGCAATCGGCAGTTAACCGGTGGTCGGCCGCGCCGTGGGTAGCTTCGCACAGTGCTCCAAAGGTCCGTTGATCAGCTCTACCGGTACTTGTTTCTATTCGAGAGAGGGCTGCCGCAGCGAGCGTTGCCCCTACTCGGCGGGAGGAGTGGTAATGTAATGGGAATGAGGAAACTAGTTGAGAAGATGGGGAACTCAACTAGTTTTTTCTTCTTTTGGAGGGGACAGCAGCAAGAAGAAGAAAAAGGTAGGAGAAATAGAAGGGAAAAGAAGAAATTAACTGTAGAAAGAGCAAGGGGTGCAAGGCCAGCGCACAGAGAGAAAGGAGAAAAGCTCGTGGAGAGCAAAGGGTGGAGGAGGCAATGATCGTGGTGATGGGGGTTTCTGGTAGTAAGGTCGTTTGGCTCAAGTCGGGCACTCTGCAGAGAAGCCAAGAGCAAAGACGGAAGGAGCGAAAAAAGAGACAGAGACAGAGACAGAGAGTCGCAGATCATGCAGCAGCAGCTATGTAGTATGTAGGTACGGCACAGCACAATGCAGTAGTAGCAGTCTGTGATAGGTGTGTGTGTGCATATGTGTGTAGCTACAGGTTGGTAGGTAATGTAGGTAATCGAAACAGTAGATCTGCTTGCTGTTTTGAGGGTCGGGACAGAAAAGATGCAGCAAGCAAATCTAATAAAATCGGCCGGCTGTTGAGCTCGAGCTGCAGATCAGTACATTGGCTGTCGCAGGTCTTTGCACCCGAACGGGCGCGACCAAGCAGGGGCTGTCTGACTGGTCTGGTCTGATCTGACCTGTTGAAGCGATGGAGCGCAGTGTAAAAAAAGTACTAGGTAGTACTTGGTAGGTAACGATTAATATGTAGGCCAGTAGCGTGGCATAAGTAAAATGTAGTAAGTAGTAAGTAGTAGGTAATAAACGAACGTGGGAATTTTGCTTGGACGTAAGAGAGCTGCAAACAAGCGATATATTATTATGTCATGTAATGAGCGACAGACGAATGACGAGAGCCTCTGCAAAGAAACGTAGAGGGAGGAAACAACCGAAGGTCGAGAGAGAGGGGGGCCCTTATTTTAGACGGCGTTTTGCATCATGCAATCTCCTCTCCTCGACGGACCGGAACAAGTCTCATGATAAAAATGCCCGTTCTAACTTGTTCTCTCTTTGATCTTTCTTGCCTATCTACCAACCGACCTATCTACCTCCATATGCCGGGATAAATGAATGGGAAGCGATTGTCTGGAACGGACCTCTTTTGGCTCTAGCAGCCGAATCTACGACTGCTGATCAAATGCTGGCCTGTGCCACTCCCAATTCCCTTTACACCATTATCTTACCCAAAGAATTCATTTGTTTCACGCCAAAAAGTCGATAGTGGGCGGCTCAAGTTTTATGGCGATGGAGCCTCACCTGGACGCTATGCCCATTGCCCTCAGATACCTAGTAAAATAAATCCCAGACCATTGCGGCGGCTAGCTGGGAATTTCATGCATTTGTCCATGGCTATCTTTTGTCTAGGGTCTCCCGGTCACTTTCTTTTGGGGCCATAAACGCCTCTTCTGCTTACTACTACGTATTGTCTCCTGCTACTATTGTATGGTAGACATGTACCGTATCGGCGCATGGAAGGGAAATGGAACGAAGAAGCATTTGATCACAAGTCAGTCCGTGCCGCACTACGGCCGATTCAGGATTCAATTGCTCTAGGCTAGGTACGTAGTACTACTAGCGAAATCCCAGATCGATCTGCTTTCGTATATAATAAACAAGAAAACGTGATCAAATGGGACCATCTTTAGCTCCAAACTAAAGAAGCTGTCGCCAATGGCCATCTCCATTGGTGAGCTTGTTCTTTCGAAAAATTCATGATAGGGCTGGATCGACATATTTTTTTTTTTTTTGGAATTCCAAAGCCATCATCCCAACCATCGTGAATGGTAAATTACCAAGTTCCCGAGTCTGCGCACTTCAAGGTCACAGACACTTGGATACCAGATCCACTAGTGACCTTAATTTGGGTTTGCGAGCCTTGTTGAGACGAGGCCACAGCATGACCACAGCTGCGGCCAGGCCGCCGGAACAAATTCCACAAAACGAGCGCGAGCAATAGAAAGGGGAAAACACCATTGGCTGGTAAACGGCCAGTCAAGTCGAGGTAGAGCATCGCCATTCATTTGTTCCGAGTGAAGTTCCATAACCTTACCATAAGGTCTTTGATTCGCCAGAGTTACAAAGCAACTCGTTGTTCAGTTTCGCCTGCTTTTCCCCTCCCGAGGCGCTTGATGTGTTTAATGCATGATCAATTGATCACAAAGTACATTCTATAGATGATATGCCCATCATATAAGGACATTGATACAAATTTCTATCGTGACTCGGTCAGGCATCACGTCATGCCCATATATCGCGGACGAATTGATCATATGCTTGTCCGTGTCTTGAGCTTAAGCTGGGACCTGAACACATAGGGCAGGGAAAGTCTCATTCAGGGACAAAGTAGACCATGAGGCTCTGATTTTCTGAGACATATGGATATATCTCTCCATGTCATCATTCCCATACGCTGCAATCCGCGTGTTTCTTGGTATTTTATTGAGCCATGCTGCTGGAAAAAAAAAATTATTATACTCGCTAAAGTCTTGGCGTGGTCTTGTTCCCAAGAGCACCACTCATCATGTATTCCTCTTGCTTTTCCTGGACCCTTGGAGCGTTCAACAGTACCATTTCCCGTCCACCGCCGGTTCCCCACCAGGCGACACCAATTGCGGCTCTCTCCACGTCCATCTCACCACTAACAAGTACGTCCCAGAATCTCTTCCTCGCCACTTCACGCATGCTGGCATCAGCAATCGCGTTCATGGCCTCAGCGGTACGTGAGAGCCACTCATCTACTATTTGCAACGGCAAGAAGGGGAGAGCGTCGATCAAGGCTAGCACCAGCGTCGACTGTTCTGAAAGTCGTGGTTGCTGAACCTGCTCTTCTGACGGTTGTTGAGACGCCATCGGGGACGGAGAGGTCGGCGTGGCTTCGGGCGGGAGAGGCAGCACATTTGCCGACACGGAGCGGAAGTGCAACGTCTCGAGAAGTATCTCGGACAGTTTTGGATGTGTTGCCGATATAGGAAAAGGGGGCGAGACAATTTGCATAACCGTTTTGAAGGCTAGGCGGAACTGCCGCGAAGAAATTCGAGTTGGGAAAGATTGAAGCAGTATATCCACATAGAATGGTATCGCGGACACCGTCAGTTCTGCATGCTGCGGACAAGACATGACAGAGAGGATTGCAGAATGAGAAGCCTCGAAAAGAGGCATGGTGAGGGAGTTTGCCGGCAGGCTTTCAGCAGTGGATATTGCGAAAGAAAGCTGCGATGTCGCGGGTGTGAGGATCAGACTCTCCGCGGCTGGTGTTGGAAGCGAAAGCGGGAGATGTTCCGCCAGATTGAGGTAGAACAAAGTGAGTGCCTGATCCAAAGCGCTTGGGGGCTGACCATTCGACTGCAGCGTTGGAGGTAGCATTTCCTGCAGAAAGCCAATGCAAGCCTCGGGGTATCGCGACATTACATCGATGGATGTGAGGTATGTAAATGTGTATACTTGGAATGAGTCCGCACCGCCTCTAGACGAGATGAAATAGAGGTTGCGTAACACATGGAGCGTCTTTGACGCCACGATTGGTGCGACAGCATCATTTCTCAGATGCGGGTCAAGGAGACAACGTCCTATTATGGGCTGTGCAGTCGCAACAACAGCATACATGAGCTTTTTGAGGACCTGCCACAGCAAATTCCAAGGGCCTTGTTGTAACTCGGGGGCCAAGACGGCAGACTCAACCGATACGTCAATTGCCGAGAACGGACATCTTCTCCACTGCTCCAGCAAGTCAATTGATAGAGCCAACAAGTGATCTTGTGCTTGAAGAACAGCCTTCGAGTCGGATGCATTCTCGACAGCAAATGCTGCCACTCGTGATAAAGGTCCCATATTCTGGACCAATGGTTGGCTCGAAACTTGCTGGACTGCGGCAAAAGAGTCAGGGGACGCCCTGTAGAATGCTTCGTGCCCAGCAAAGTTTCCCGCAGATATCGTGCGCAAGAAGTCTCCTCCCTGAAAACCCTCGGTGCCCATCATGACGCGCAGAGTAGCCGGCAACAACAAGTCACAGTTCAGGGAACTCTTGTTCCAAGGCGACGAGACCGGGAAGGAATAAGTCAAAGCCAAGACAATGGCACTGTTGCCGAGTTCCTGCGTCTGTACTGCATCTCCTAGTGCCATGTTCGCTGCCGTGACCACAGCCTGTTCCAGAGTTGACTTCAAACCTGATGAAAGGGTCCTTTTATCGTTGCTCTCCATGCCGAGTAGGATACCGGTCAGGACTAGGACATGTTTCCATCTGGCCGAGCGCTCGTCGGCACCATTTGCGACTGCGCGTGCCCAGTCCTCGGGGCGCAACTCACTGCCCACGGGCTTTTGTCCCCAAACCAGCTTGGCATTGTTTTCCGAATTCTGTATGACATGCTTTGCTGCAGTATTGAATATGCTGATTATTCGAAGGCAAGTGCGCAAGCCGTCTGGTGCTTCCCATATCGCTCGTGCAGTTAGGAGATGTGATGTGAGGAGAGTTATGTTCAGCGGGTTGTTTAGATTCGATAACAAGGTCGTTGTGGTTGCAAATATCTTGTTCGTCTCGGCAGTGTTGGGTGGTTCTTGAAAAGCCCGCAGAGCGACAGTCAATAACCTGTCGACCGACATGTTGACAGGTTGTCGCAGCAGGTGTTACATGCTGTTGTGTTTGTTGCGATTGAGGCGACGAATTGGTTGTAAGCTCCAAGTTGGACCGCGAGACTCGGGTTGTCGTTCGGCGTTGAGTGCCCACATGGATTTTGCCGAGGCACTGAAAGACTGCACCCCAACCTTAGCTGCGAGAGCCTAGCACCTGCAAGACAACGTCAATCAGCAGCGACCCGACCCCGGCCAATGCGGCAGGGCCAAGACTCAAATGAGCCAAGACCGTACCTACTGCTGTCAACCGCTTCCGCCCCCTGACAACGCCTATCATATTGTACCTAAGCAACCTTACCCTCGAGGTCCACACTCTCACTCAACTCACCCTACTACAACTAAAGAGGACGGCGCTTGCGTCTTTGCCATGGGACAACAAGTGTAAGTCATTGGCGACCATGATAAATGATGCTGAGTGCTGATTAATTGTAGCTCGACCAGCGCAGAAGGCTGCGACGCACGCAGACCATCCTTTCCTTCTCTCTACTGGCCAACGGACACCTGTGAAGATGCCATCTACTATCTGCGGGATTCCTGGCGCTTCACCCTGCTATGGACTCTCATTCTATATGCCATCTTTCACTTGGGTGCAGCTGCTGTAGCACTTTTTGTACAGGTTGGGAAACACCGGTCGACCTGGAAATACCTCTGGACCGTTCCCATCATTTACGCCATTACCGCTGCCGTCGAAGCAGTTGTGGCAGGAAGTATTGTCGGCGTGCTGTAAGTCTTGGAACGACTAGTAGGCAGAGCAAACAAAGACTGACCATTGCCTAGTATTGGCGCTGTCTACTTTACTGGCAAGTTCCAAATGTCAACCTGGATACCTTTCATCTGGGGTTGGATCAATGTCTTGATGCTCATCGTATCGTCATTCACTATCCAAGGTGGTCTATGAAGGTGCAATTATATCCTGCTACATGATTTCCACGCCTCAATTAGGTGCAGCAGTTCCGGGAAGCGAATGAGGCACAGCTGATGGCTCGATAATTCTCAAGACTCGCGCCGGATTGCCTGCCACCACGTTGTACGGAGGGACATCTTTTGTCACTACACTGCCGGCTCCTACGACGACACCTTTGCCAATGGTCACTCCTGGAAGAACAATACAGTTACCTCCAAACCAGCAGTCCTCGCCAACGGTAATTGGCTTGCCGGTTTCGGGGCCTTTGGTTCCATTTCGAATCGTGGGATCTACCGGGTGCGTACCTGAGTAGAACGAGCAATTTGGACCGATCAAGGTGCGGGCCCCAACGCTGATCAAGCACGTATCGATCCAAGTACTGCCGCTATTGACATAAACGTTGTCACCGAATCTGGCGAGTCAGCAGTTTTCTGTACAAGACCTCTGAAATGACCAACTTGACGTTATGGCCGTAGTCCATCTTGATGGGCGCATCGCACCACACTTGTTCACCGAAAAGGTCCTCGTCCTCTTCGGGAGTTGCTGCAACGGGAGGCAAAGGAGTCTTATCATCCTGGATTCTGTTGACGATTTGATTGTCAGCCATGGAGACATACCGAGTATCTAGGACTCTCACAATTTGAAGAGCTCAACTAATCTTCGGCGTGATACGTCGCCAGCTCGGTTGTAAGCTTCGCAAGCCAGCCGGCATCTTTTGCGATCCGCCACGAGATCTGGGGTAAAGGCATAGTACAATTGCCCTTCTCTCATCAAACGCCGATTCTCCTCGAGGTCGATATTACGCAGGGGATCCATTGTTACTACTTGGCAATCCTCTTGGGAAAATAACACTATATTTGCGTAGTGTTCAAGAAGACAAGTATCGCGATGTAGGGATAGACCTTAGTGGACCTGAGATCCATGTGGACTCGTCTACTCCCCGCCAGACCGCCCCCACAGGTTGACAAGACTCTTGCACAGCAACATGACTTTCTATGAGCATGTTGATATTATGAAACCACATCATATATATCTCAATACAATATTCGTACGATTTTACCTGCAAATGATTCTGTATTTCTCAATGCCCGCAATGCTAATGCATGTTGCTAGCAGCTCACAAGTCTGTTTATTTGTGAAGGGGCACGCTTCTTATTGAGGGAGACGTCATACCAACTTGTGACAGGCCCGTTTCCGTCTGCACCCCGCAGCTAGCCGCTAATCGAGCAACAGGGTAGAAGCTGTCGGGCCCTGATTGCCAGAGCTCAGACAAGGCTTCGCGTCAGGATCTGAATATCCCCTTGCCGCCTCTACAACCCAAACAAAAGAAAACATCGCGGCTACGACAGCAACGGTCACAGGGCAACAAAGAAGGCGCAAAGTCCTCTTCTTTGTCCTAGTTTGCGCGCATGCTCTCGAGATAGAAAGACCTCTCCGTCAGACACAATGGCGAGCCCCCCAGACAGGTGAGTCCCGTCTTTCTTGTTTGCCGATATGGCTATGATGCGCCGCCCGCTCGTCTTCTTCGCGACCGGCCTTCTCTCCTCGACTTGTCGTTTCGACCTCAGTGTGCGCCTGCCCAGACATCCACACTTTGTATCGTTATGTCCGCGTCACCAGAATCCGCCACTCCGCCTACTCCGCCGCCAAAGGCCTCTCCTGTCTCCCCTCCCAGAGCTCCGCGCAAGGACGAGCCACCGGTCGGTTTCCACTATCTGGTGAACGACGAAATTCCTTCGACGCCAACCTGGAAGACGTCTTTCGGCCCGAGTGAAAAGGTTGAAGAAGACAGGGCATGGGTCAGCAGCATTGCGTCGGTTGCAAAGAGCGAAGAGCAGAGACGGCCCATGTGGGCCAACAACAAGAAGAAGGACCGGCGCATTTCACTGCAACTGCCAACTATCCAACATGTTCCTGAGGAAAAGGATGCTGACGACTTGCTACCAATTGCCAGTCCCTTGAGCGCTCGACCGTCCCCCGACAAGCTGTACTTCTCCGGCAAAGCAAAGTCACTGGAAGGCATCGCGCTCCGGGCATTTTGTTTGGGTATTGCACTTGCCCTCTCGGTAGTGGCTATTGCTGCCATTCTTCTATTCTCGTCCTCACCTCTCTGGCGCGTGCCCTTCTTCTTTGCCGCCCTCTCAACATTCCACTTTCTCGAATTCTGGACGACGGCAAAGTATAATACACAAGAAGCCAAAGTTGATTCGTTCCTCTTGACGGCGAACTGGCCCATGTACTTTATTGCACACTCGGCGGCTACGATTGAATGCTTGTTCACCAAGCTGATATGGCCGAATCGCTCGTGGGCTCCGTTGTACACTGGCCACATTCTGCTCCTGATTGGACTTATACTCGTTCTTATAGGCCAGTTCGTTCGGGCCACTGCCATGATGCAGCTCGGAACAAACTTCAACCACATTGTTCAAGACAGAAAGAAGACGGGGCACGAGCTGGTGACCTCGGGCATTTACGGAGTCATGAGACACCCATCTTATTTCGGCTTCTTCTATTGGGGCATAGGGACACAAATAGTCCTTGGAAACCCGATATGCTTTGTCGCGTACCTCGCCGTACTGTGGCGGTTCTTCTCGACGAGAATAAGAGCCGAAGAGGCACACATGGCACGCTTCTTTGGCGAGGATTTCACCGAATATCAAAAGCGTGTACCAACCATGATTCCCTTGATTCGTTGATGAATCATGGTTTCCTTTGACCACTCAGATATGGATAGAATAGAATGGGCATTCTGGCGTTTTGGATTCTTGTAGAAGAACTTGAAAATCCATCCGGGCTTGGGAATTTGCCATGGTTTGCAAGATGGGGAGAGGGACTGGCAGCTATCATGTCAAAGGTAGGCAAACTCATACCATTCCGAGGTATGAATGTATCAACAATATGTGAAACATGTGTAATACAATTTTGTATAAGACATCGAGAATACTTCTTCTGAACTCGCCATGTTGGGAGTGAGCATTATTTTGAAGAGTATGGAAAATTCTCTGTGAATTGTTATGATTTCATCGGTTCACAACTGGCTCTGTTCAAGACACATTAGTCTTTTATCGTGCAAGTATCTTGACAACCATATAAAATGAATGTTCCCACAGTAAGTGTCTTCTTTCAGTCATCTTGCCTTGAAGTCGAAAACAATTACCTTGTGGATAATGATGTTTGTTCGCACAAGTTCTTGCCACTCGGCTCATGCTATATATAGGTACATAGTGATCATTACAATCCGAGGTACCCATACAAAACATAATCTTGACGCTGGAACTCATTGGACTCTTCGGAGGCATTTTTCATGAAAAAGCTCAGGCAAAGTTTCAGAGCATGAATGGCGTGGTGTCGTGAAATCGAAATACCTCTCTAGTGATGAGAATACCTGCCCTGATGGTTTCTCTGATCTAGCTTATTGGCAACAGATACTATCTTGATGAAAATCAGACCCAAGCTCGGAGAAAGAACTTTGACAACCTCTCCTGCTGCTCGTCATGGATCCACCGAATGACCGCTCGCAATCACATCCGTAGAAAGAATATAGCTCGATGGTATCTATATTATGGAAACCCGCACAACTCTGGAAACGAATATTCATGACCTTGACCAAAAGCCCTTGAACTTCTCGATAGCTCTGCTAACTTTGTGTGCACCTTCCACATCATTTGAGCCGGGTGGAGGTTCTGGGTTCTTTCCAGCGAGCAGATCAATCATGTCTGTGTCTCCCTTCTGGGCGGCCGTATCAAAGGCAGTGAAGCCACATGCTTCGCGTAAATGTGGGTTGCATGAATCCATTGATAGGAGAACCTCGGCTACGTTGGTATGACCTTTCCACATGGCCAGATGAAGTGGTGGACACCCACGCTCGTCTGTGATTCTAATATCGACACCATGTTCGATAAAAGTGTTGACCGCTTCAGTGTGTCCATACAAGCAAGCCAAATGGAAAGCTGAAGACCCAGTTCCATCCCTGATTGTAGAGTCTGCGCCACTTTTCAGGAGCAGCTCGATAATCTTTGCATTTGCCTTACATGAGGCAAAATGTAGAGCTGTATCTCCGTCATTATTCACAATTGATAGGTCGGCACCGCGTTCGATAAGTAGATTAGACACTTCCATATGCCCATTTAAGGAAGCGGCATAAAGTGCTGTATATCCGTATTGATTTGCAATATTCAGGTTGGCACCGCGTTCGATAAGCAGATTAGCCACTTCCACATGCCCATTCAAGGAAGCTGTATGAAGTGCTGTATGTCCGTATTGATTTGCAATATTCAGGTCGGCACCGCGTTCGATGAGTAGATTAGACACTTCCATATGCCCATTTAAGGAAGCGGCATAAAGTGCTGTATATCCGTATTGATTTGCAATATTCAGGTTGGCACCGCGTTCGATAAGCAGATTAGCCACTTCCATATGCCCCTTGAAGGAAGCCCAGATGAGTGCTGTATCTCCGTGTTGATCTGCGATATTCAGGTCGGCACCGTTTTCAAGGAGCAGCTCGACAATATCTGAGTATCCTTTAGCTGATGCCACCATAAGAGCTGTTCTCCCATTCAGGTTGGATGCTTGGGGGTCAGCACCTCTTCGAAGCAGCAAATTGGCAATTTCCAAGTTTCCATAGTGTGCAGCCTTGTCAAGTGCTCTTTGTCCTTTTTCATCTGTCGCAGTATGGTCAGCTCCATGGTCAAGAAGCAGCTCGGCTATGTCAACATATCCCTCTTTTGAGGCATACATCAAGGGTGTATATCCCCTTTCGTCCTTTGCTGTATGATCGGCACCCTTTCGTAGCAGCATGTCGACGATTTTCAGGCGTCCATGACTGGAAGCTATGCTGAGCGCTGTTCTCCCATCCTCGTGCTTTTTCGTCAAGTCAGCGCCATGCGTAAGAAGTAGCTCGGCTATGTCGGTAGTTCCATAGCGTGATGCATGCATCAAGAGTGTCCATCCATCCGGACCATTGGTTTTTGGGCTGACACCATCCTTGAGTAATCGCTCGGCCGTGTCTATATCTCCGCGAGATATAGCAAGGTAAAGCGTGTTAATCAGATGTCGACGCCTCTTGCGAAGCGCCTCGACGGCTGCCATATTCCCGAAGTTTGTAGCACTTGCCAGTCTTTCCTTTATGGCATCGTATTCGATGCTCTCTGAGAGAAGTTTCATCAAGCTTTCTTCCTTCCAATGACAAGCGACAAGCATGAATACCTGGTCGGTTATTCGTACTCCGTCTGCCCTTTTTGACAAAATGAGCTCCATCACTTGTTGCCCACTGTGGAAATTCCTCGCAGCAGTTCTAACCACTTGTTCTGTGATGTGATGAATCTGGTTTCCACTTTTGCCCAGAAGCACTTCCAGTACTTGTTGGCCATCTCTCCCATTACTTGCAGCACCCTTGAGTACTTCTTCTGTCAATTGTATGTCGTCCGGAATCTTTTCTAGAAGCAGCTCCACTGCGTGAGCGTCAAAACATTTTGCGACAAGGCTTATCACAGAATTCGTGATGTAGGACTTGGGCGCTGTCTTCTTTAGCAGTACTTCCAACACCTCCTGCCCACTCCTCCTGTTTCCCACAACGGCCATGATGACTCCCTCAGTAATATCCACCTCGTCTCGTGTCGCGCCCAAAAGCGCGTTCATCACCTGAGGGCCATAGTAGTAACTTCCCGCTGCAGCTATGATGGCCATTTCTGTAATATGAATCGTATCTTTTCTCTTTTCCAAAAGATTTTGGACAGCGGGAGCGTCGAAGTTTCCCGTGATCAGACTGATTGCGTCTTGTGTGAATCGGGATTCGTTTCCATTCCGCCCCTCTTCCAACAACAGCTCCATCACTTGTTGCCCATTTTCCCCATTGGCTATAGCGGCTCTGATCACAATCTCGATGATCTGAGGATCGCTGTTCGTATGCTCCAAGATGACTTTCAGTACCTGCCGGCCACTGTACTGATTTGAAAAGGCTGTCTTCACCACATTTTCCGTTATGGGCACCTCATCTCTCCTTTGGGTCAACAATAGGTCCATCAGTTGCTGGCCGCTGTCCCAATTGCCCGCAGCAGCTCTGACGATTTCTTCAGTAATCTGTACTTCATTGCTTCTCTTCTCTAGAAGCACCTTCATTACCTGCTGGCCGCTGCTCTCATTCTCTGCTGCTGCCAGGATAACTCCTTCTGTGATTATGAGATCTTCAGCCCCATTGCATATCTCAATGACGCAATCCGTCACGTTCGCATTGATTTCACCCGCAACTCGAACAAGGTCGAGAAATCTTGCTGAGATTCTGCAGCTCTGAAGCATCCATCGAACGACAGCCACGTTTCCATTTATTGCCGCCGCGTTCAAGGCATTGCCATATCTTCCCTCACTTTTCGATAATTGCGAGATACCAACCCATATATTGCTCACGACGGTTTGGAACCCAAGAAGCGAGGCGTAGTATAGTGGTTCTGCTATTCGATGACCTAGATAGCCATTGACGTTGTCCGGATCGTGCATCTTCAACCATCCAAGGAACTGTTTCCGAAACTTCTCACTAAAAAGCAAACAAATTTGCTCTTCAAGCTCGAGTTGGTCGTCGGCCTTTATTCCCTCTATTGCATGCCGTGGCCAATATTGGGCGGCGTATGGAAGAATATTCTTCAGCTGATGTTGTGGATATAGAAGTCCCTGAAGGGCAAAGAGGGCAATGCTTTTATTGGCATATTCCATGGTGAACCGGTACCACTGCGTGCTATTCTCGTATAGCTTGAGGACGAGAAATTCCTTGACCGAGAAATGTGCCAATTTGATGATCCGGGTTGTATCTTCATCAATAATGGTGACGAGAAGTGTCGAGCAAATCTGAAGCACAAAGTCTGGGTCCCGAAAACCCACGACGGCTGCAATCTGTTCGGCGGCAAGCGGTTCCAACGACACAGCAAGCCACATCATTATCTTCGTGACATGAGCAGTGTTCTCGTCATCAATTGCATCGAATGCTTGCCGATATGCTGCTTCGAGATCCTTTGGAACACTGTCCATGGCCACCTTGAGCTGCTCAATGGTGGGGCATTGGGCAAAACGCTTAATCTGTAGATCAGCCCATCGGAATCTCCTATTTACAATTGTGAGTTTAGCAAACTCCATTATATACGGAGATATACTCACCTTTCTTCGTACTCTAGGAGCTTTGCTATGATCTGGTCTCTTACTTCTTCTGTCCAAGAAGCTAGACGAGGGTCCTCAAGTGCGACCTTCACAAATCTTTCCACGTCGCTCCTAATAGGTAGCTCGATATCGAAATCGCAACTTGCAACAGGACGAAGGTGAATCTCAATATCCGGCTCTGGTCTGCTTGTGACGAGGAGATGTAGATTAGAATGTGTCATCATGAGGTTCTTGACGCAGCTCAGTAATTGGTCCCTCTGGCCTTTCTTATCCTGGTGGGGACACTCGTCGAGTGCATCGAAGACGAGGTAGACATCTTGCGTAAGGGACTCGATTGCAGCGTTGAGAGCTGCGACAAGCTCCTCCACAGATGGCTCACTTCCGCGTTGGCCATGTCGATCGTAAAGTGATCGAATCTCATCAGGTAGAGGAGATACGCTGAGTTGCCGAATGGTCGACCGTAGCATTTGCGAAACATCCTGCAGAATTTGATTATCGAATCGGAAATACCAGTAGGCCAAGTGTGGAAAGTTCTCTTGAAGATCTCGTATGATAGTTGAGCTATCAATGGTCAGCAAGGTATACTTCATCAGAATGACAATAGAGTGATTACCATAGGATCGTCTTTCCACAGCCCGCTTTTCAGTGTCAGCGGTACTCTTGAAGAGGGACCCAAGTAACTTACCAACACCGTGGAGCCATAAGAGACCAGGCTCGTGGTTTCGCCAATTTTGATAATCTCTATGATCAAGCAGCCACTGACCAGTGCCAGCAGTGTGGGCCTGCTGAGATTCATTCTGCAGACTGGAGAAGTTGACATCTTTCGACGAGAGCCAGTCAAGAATTTTCATTTCGGCTGCGCCTGCTTATCCGTTAATTGTGATACTATGAATGAACTCTGCCACTACATACTTTGAACTTGCTCCTGAACTCTCCTCGTTCTTTGATCCACCTGATCAACCTTCATGGATAAGCCTTCGAGCGCATCGGTCACGGACTGTGTGCGCTGCACCTCGCCGACTGGTATCTGTAACAACAGTTCTTTCAAATACGCAGCCGCCGTGGCAGCGGCATATGGTTGCCACTTCTTGTTCTTGTGAGAATCGGCATAATCGCTGATACCCCGAATAACCAGGCAAGGGAATGCCTCCATGAGCCCTGCCGCTTCCATTTCCACACAGAGTATCCCCATATCTCGTAGCTCATCCCGTTTGTGGGCATCTTTTATCACTGTGTTTGACGATCCAATTGTTCCGTAATGGACTCGAGGGCTTCCTGTTGTCCGTGGCTCGCGTTGGATCGATCGGGAGATGTCGCATTTCTTGCAAGTTTTGCTGTTTCCATGCGTATAGGATGCTTCGAAAAGACAGTCACGCTCTGTTCCTGGGGTGCTGTATTTCTCTTTCATTCCAGGGTATTTTTCCAGCATATCATCGAGATACCGTAAAATACTGTGGCCATGGAGATTGTGGGTAGCCTTCAAAATTTCCACATTCGCGGCTAGCACATGTGGTGGCTTGCTCTGATATCCTGTCACCACAAAGCCCTCCGTTGTGCTCTTTCCGCGATCAAATTGTATGACTCCTCCGCGAGCCCCGTGAGAATGGCTGACGACGACATCGCCTAGTCGTATGTCATTCAGATCATCGTCCTCGTAGTCCTCGTCAGGGATTCCACCACCAATTCCAACTAGTAGCCCGAAGCGTATTCGACTGAAATCATTCAAGAGCTGTGTGACCACCATGGCAGCTGCATTATTGCCAATCTCTGGCATGCCGGCAACAACTACGTTATGGTGGCCCATCTTCCCAAGCTTGTACGCATTCTGGTCGCGGCTGGTACTGAGGTTGTCGTGCACTTCGTCGAGCAGTGCGAGAACCGGGCTCAATTCGTCTCCCATAGGACAAAGAATCGCAACGGTATAGTCTTCATGGTGGAGACAATCTGGCGGCTCAGGATGGGACAATATGGTTTGACTGTGGCCAGCCATGTTCCGCTGCCGATCGAAGTGCTTGCATGCGACAAATTTGATCCTGTGTAAGCAATTGCTAGAGAAGTTTGAAACAACGGAGAACGATCAGAAGAGAAATCTCGTCTTGAACTTGAGATCATCACCTAAGTCACTGCCTTGGCAGCATCAAATCCAAGTTTCAGGCATCCTCTCCTCTTAGGCTTAGCCAACGTTTTCCACGCTTCGATTGGGCATGTTCGGATTACATCTTGCATCTGCATGGAACTATTGAATTCCATGCTCAGATATGAATGGTCAGAAAGCGACAGGGGATGTGCGGAACCCCTCATTCGTAGGCAGGCTGAGCTGCGAGGCGTTCTAGTGAGGCGGTGCCCTCGGAGCCTTGCGGTTCTTGAATGAAGGCTATGTATTTACATATCATGAGTTTGATTTGAAACTGATAGTTTCGGACTATTTTATCTTAATAAATATCACTAGTTTGGAGTGTTAATACTCATTGCGTGTTTTTGCACGAATAATTCATACGCATAGCATTATAGCATGGCCAACGGTCAACCATAATCACTGCATCGCGAATAGCCGCATCAAGAACTTTGAATTGCTTAACTTCACTTTTTTTTTGTCCGAAATAGTCATATCTCAAACGAGCTAATCGACCATCTTCTGTGGCTGCATCAAATGGTTTTAGAGCATCATTTCTGTCGACGTATACAGTGAGTATATCCTCCAGAAGTATAATTTCCAAAAGGTTGAAGGTCACTTTCAAACCCCCCTTGCCATTGCTTCAATTAAGCGTTACGGCATGTTTCCTTCAGTATAGGATCAAGTAAATCATTATATCTGCCTTTTATTTGTGTAAATCAATGACAATAATGAAAGAATGCATGGAAGCTGGTTGACAGTGACCAGGTCGTATCAGATATTGACTTATGAAAGTCAATGAAGCTCAAGATAAAGTCACGAGTCACCAGAACGTCTTGGAACTTTTCTCAAAGCCCAATCAAATCAATTGATTGTTAAGTTCTCTGTACCTTACCCTTAGTACACCGTGAACAAACAATGCTAGCCCTTAAATGCATGGAAAGCAAAGCACGCTCGAGTTCGTCGTCAACTATCGTTCCACGGTAGAAGAGACCAAGCCGTCAACACCCACCTCTTAAGATATTAAATCCATTAATCGAAGATCAAAGAGCTTCTGTCATTCTGTTTTTCATTCGGCAAATACCCATCTTACGATCGAGTCATTTCGGCGAAACAAATTGTAGCAACTTCCTTTGAGAGCTCTCAGATGAATGTACACCCTTGAATTAATGACAGACCCGCCTGATGTAGACGGGCAGAAGTCTCAACTGTAACTTGGTTTTGTTCTCTACAGAATTCAACCTGAATAGTACTTTTATAGTTCGATATAGTTTTCTTTCTCGACTCGGTTTGAGATCATGATTGAGTGTTGGGATCATATCACCGACGCCTCCATGTCATTTATACATGTTGAAATTAGGTCAAGGCCGAGGCGAGACTACAATGCTCTGGGGTCTGTCATTCGACAAGATAACTTATCCAAGTGATTTGGGAGTATAAGCACTAGGTACCGGGTACTGATTGGGAAACAATATTGACAACACAAATCCAAGACACATATCTCGAGAGCTTCCGAGAAAGCTGATCACTATAATGACGCCTCGGGCGTATCTTCAATGATCAAGAAACTTGAAAGTCTCTTCTGATCTCTCAATAATTGTTATATTTGCGGGGTAGAGACCACAAAACTTATAAACATGCTATCCTGTGTCGAAATACAAGTACACAGCGTCCAATAAACATCATTCAATATCACCTCGCAACGACAGCTCGGACGTTGACAATGACAACAGCAACATTGCCAACGCATCACGATCTAAACCCGATTCCAGCAATCTCAGATCGGGATACTACCCAACCCAGCCATTGCCTGCCACCATCCGCCAACAGCATTACCGGCCGAGTTGAGAGACAGAATAACCGCGCTCGATCTCACCATCTCTTGCCCCTCCTCCCCATCCTCGGACGGGCGCGCGTTACCCGCTCACCGACTACCGAAAGACCGAAGACTTGCCTATTCCTTCCGCCTCGCCTGGCTCGGCCGCTTCTTGCATAGCCGAGCAGGTCGAAAACAAAGTCTGGAACTTTTTCTAAGCGGCATAAGCGAAGAAAGCGGGCAGAGGTGGCCCTCAAGGTCCATGTACGTTACCAAGGTGAGAGAATATCTTGGGGGAGGAGGAAGGAGAGGAGAGGAAACAAACAATCACCCAGATACCTGAACTAGATACTTAGGCGAGTGTCCCCGGATCCTGAGCCGGGCTGTTGCCTATTGGCAACATCAGATGGGAGACGGGTCTATAATTGAGGGTTGCTATATGGAGAGATCTAGTGGACGATGAACCAAGAAATTGGGCGTTCTTCGGTCTCTCGGGTTATCCGACGAGAGTTGCTTGGAGTAAACGCCATTTTCATGATCGTCCGATGGGAGAAGGTTGGCCACGGCGGCTTGCCCACTGACATACCCGTTGGCCATTGCGAACCAACCTTCCGATGGAGATGACGGGGGGGTTGGTACTTTCGGCAGTATCTTTGGACGTGTGCCGCAAGAAACAACCAAGTTGAACGCGAGGTTACTGCTGCTGCAATGCCATTTTCATCTCATGACCACGTGCTCTCGGCCAGCGGGATTCGGAAAATAGAAAGAGTTTCTCGTGGCAGCAACGTAGTTGAGCAAGCTTTCGTCGCATATCACACTTCTTGATATCATCACCCACACCCACACATCAAGAGACAAATCATAGGTTGTCTCGTCTAGACGAGCATCCCAGATCTACGGGATATACTAGCTCGTGTTTTTCTTTGGGGCTCTTGGGCTAGCAGTTTAGCGTTCACGAGTTTTGAACTTGTTTCTGTCGCTCCAATCAAACAAAACGACTTCCATCCCTCCCCGGATATAGGAATTTGCCGTCTAAAGCCAATGAGCACCCCGGAATGGTTCGTCCAGCTTCCCGAATCAGGAAACACATAATTCACCATAAGACGGGGGGAACGGACGGGCGCACGAGCGACGCCGGACGCTTTTGTTTTGTTCACAACTGCCTGTTCCGGCAAACACACATTCCCCTTCTGTTTGAGGAGATGTGCGTCTCGGCCAATTCCCGGCTTGGCGTGACCAGCAGAGGGCTATTTGGGGGCTCCACACCAATGCCGATGGATTTTTTTTCTTTCTTTCTTTTTTAGCCACATCTTGTTGAAGCAATACCTACATACCTAGTCAGGGGTGGGAAGAGAAAAATGTAGAGGTGGGCGCCGAGCCCCTACCTGATCTACAGCATGTCTACATTCATACCTGTGTAGTGCAGAAAGGGGGGGAAAGGCAATGGGTGAGGCGACATTGAGGCTGTTCCGCAAATGCCGGGCTATACTGTCACGCTGCCATTGTGGTTGCGTTGCTTTGCGTTGCGTTGCGGGGTCAGTCCATGAGGCGAAACTGTCTGTGAGACTATTATTATTGCATTTCGACTTTGTTTCGGCAGAATTACTAAGCTGGTGTGTGTTCTAGTTTGCCATGTTTCAGAGCTTCTTCCTGAACAGTTTGCCATTCTGCAGCCTATGCAACAGGCAGTCTTTCCTATCAGCCAGGTTGCTAACGTGTATATGGTAGGTATCTCCATGTGTATGCTTGTACTTGCTCCAGCTGCAGATATCTCGTGATTGATAGGACAATTTCTTTATTAATGACGAGGCTCGGTGACGAATACCCGGCACGCCTCCATGCGGGTCTAGGGCTCGAGAAAAGTCGAGTACGTGTGCATGGTTATCTGGAGAAATCGAGCTCCCAAGCAGCCTGTGATACTGATCTATTCGTTGCTTCGCCGTTGGCCCATGATTTCGCCTCGATATGTCCACAAGTGATCTAAAATGCGCATTGCTCTTGCTATTTGAACATGCATCCCCAAGAGGAATTTATAAAGGTCCCTGGCGTTGAGACTCAGTCACTGGAGGTTTCAGGCATACTAGCCTAGTAAGGATTCCTATTTATTGATATAAGATGCCTGTTGAATCGGTGGTCCAAGCACATGGCTTCTGGCCGTCGAGAACTACAACTGGTAATGGCATTCCCAGAATGGACGGCCGCAATTGTCGTCGGACACATGTCGTCCGAAGAAAACAACGAGTGGCACGTTCAAGCATGAAGCTTGCCATGGAGCTTATCTGAGACCCTGCGATAATATGGGTGGCGTCTGTGGATGACGGCTGTCAGATCAAGGTTAGAAGATCCGGGGACTGCTCCGAGCACGGTCGTCTCCCGATGGAGTCAGTGGGCACAGGGTCTACTGATTATTTGATGACCGGGAAGAGAAACCGCTTTGGGGGAATCATGACCGCAGTGTTGCAGAGGAAGAAGCATCGCGCGCATTGATGTTTTGCAGAAACCGTCGCAAGAACAGATCAGAACCTTGCCATTCCGTTCCGGCGACAGTTCAGTCAATAGATTTAATTCGAGACAAGCTTCCTCGGACAGGGTTCGCCGATTTGGAGGGGTTGCGCCCTGAACATGACTGATGGCGAATAATAGCCTTGTCGTTCTCAACCCGGAATTTCTGCGATCCACGGGAGAATTGTTATCGAAATTGAGTAGTTTTTGCTTTTAAAGAGTGGTGAATTAGGTTTGCGCTTCAGGGCTTGTTAAACTCGATTCAAATATTAGCAGTGGTCCAACGTTTCAATCGCAAGTTCAAGTTCCAGCCGCGATATCCTCTGGCCCTATACTATGCCACTGCAAGCGCAAAACCTCCGCAACAGCTAGGGTCCAGGGGTGATCCGCATTAATGGAAAAGGCCAAGATATTCATAGATAAGGATCTCGGCCGCCCATCTCAATTAGGCGAGGACGGGTAGGTCGGTACAGACGACTTTTGCTGAAGGGTTTGTGTGGCGTACCTAGTAGAGGCAGACCTGATGGAGAATCTGGGGTGATCCCGTACAGAAGAATCG